AAGGTTTATTTTACCTAAAATTAAAAGCTTTAAAAAAATCGAAAAGACACCATTAAAGTAATCAATACACTGTAAAATATAATATAATCAATAGGTTATGACAATATGTGTTTTACATTGCTTTAACTCGTCAAAAGAAGTTAGAAATAATAATAATTAAAACATGTTAGTTATACAAGGGTTAACTTATTTTTTAAAGTCAGTTTAATGTAATTTAAGTTGAAATGGCATACTTAAAAATTGAAGGCAGCGACTTTTGTTTACAGTGCGAGAGGTTAAAACACAGGTGTTGGAAACACATGATCGTCATTTACTAAACACCTTGCCCTCTAAACCTCGTCACACTTTATTTTCAAACTTGAATCGTCGCTATCAGTTACGAGAACAATGGAATGATAACCTGGTTGGACACCAGACCCTTCTCAAATTTCAAAATCTCAAATTTGCCGGAATTTGGGTTTTCCCAGAATAATGGAATGTGGTATCCGACATCAAAAAATGAATATATGCAAACGGGAATAAGAATATGTTTCTGTCCGTTTCTCAAAGCTAAAATATGACTTTAGAAGTCTTGGAATATTGAGTGTAGTTGTATTTTGTGATGATTGTTGTCATTTTTGGAGCTGCACTGTAAAAATAAATATTGTTGGTTTAACTTAAAAAAATAAGTAACCTGGTTGCCTTAAAATTTTAAGTTCATTGAAATGGAAAAAATAAGTTACTACAATGATAGATTAAGTTAATCACCAGAAACTCAAAATATTATGTTATCTGAACTACATAAATTATCTAAGTTGATTTGACAAAAGAAAAAATGTAGTGATAACAAATCATGAAAAAAAAAAATTACAGTGCGGGCAGCATAAGTCGCTACACTGTTAAAACAAAACAAAAAAGTTATTTGCTTAAATTTTTAAGTGCAATCAACTTGGATGTTTAATTCATTTCAAATTAAATTACATTAAAAATCTTGTATAACTTATAAAAAAAGTTAAAAAAAATTGTTATTTTGCTGAGTTGTAAAGCGATACAAAAACATGTTGCCATAACTTATTTACATATTTTCTTTTACATATTTACAGGATTCACTTTCATTGTATTCTGGGTAACATCCAACAAAAGACAGATATGCAGGCTGGGAACATAAGGGTGAGTAAATATATGTGAACTATTTTGTTAAATAAACTTGACTGGAAAAGCTATCATATTAGCATTGTATAGCAAATTAAAATGATTGTTAAAATATTTTTTATAAGCTTCTAAAAAAGCAAACATGCTAAGTTGACAGTAAGTAATTTAAGTTATATTACTCTTTGTGAGAAGAAGCTATGCTTTAGATTAATTTTTATGTGTATTTGCTATATCTGGATTGGCTCTAAAATGTTCTATGTCATGATACAAGCATGGATTCACATGCACTGCAAATCTGTGACCATAACGGGGTTCTCTCAGTTGAAACCTTTAGAGAGAGAGCACCTGTGATGTAACATCAAAGGGCAGAACTTTGAAAGGGGGAAGTGGGGGGAAGCCCCTCCATTTTAGGTCATATTAATGTGGTTATGCAGTGGTATGTCTGGGTTGATAATTCTGTAAGGATTCCCTCAATTCTTTCCACAAATGTGACTCCTCTCTCCATTTTCTCTTTCCCCATAATGCTCCACTGGGGAAGTGAAATGTGACGTAGAGCACGGTTAGTTTCACTTCCAGCTCCCCTATGCAAATAGGTTAACACCTTTACCACAAAGAAGAAGACGAAAAAAAAGCACCATTTCTCTTTTCAGTGGATGATGAGCAGGAGTTTCTAACCTATAACTCTCCGTGCCACTATTATTAACACCTGGAACCTTGTTTGGGTTACCATGTGACACAGAAACGTGCTGGACATGCAATGGGAGGAAATTTTTAATGCGGGTTTAGCAATGTATGTTATGAGTACACACCAAATTCAGTAACTTTATCTCGGTAACTGTGAGGTTTTGAATCAAAAGTCCGATTACGCAATTAATAAGTATTTTCTCTTCAAGTGGTTTTGCACGTTGTTTTGAAATATCTAACCCTTTTCACGTTTTGAGAAATTTGTCATTCAAAGTAAAATTCCAAAATGCACTTAATGACCTGTATCTTTTTTTTTTCTTTATAGTTTGTTTCTAGTGAAATTTCAAAATTATCCCTACTCAGAGAAATATTCACTGGAGTAAAACATGTTAAGGTATATTGTTTAATGCATGCATGAGTGCAAAAAACCACAAGCTAACAGGAAATGGTTGATGGTGCACAAACAGACATCCACAAATAAAGGTTAAGTTGCATATCGCTGCAGAATTATGCTGACAAACAGTTCTTCCGGTCCTAGGTGCAAAAGCAAGTTTTAACTTACAGGTAAAGTTTATATATTTATTTTTTTTCAATCAAAATCTAGTTTAATAACACACAGGTAAATAGTGCTACCGTATTGAAAATGTTCAAGGGGCTGGTTCATCACAGGACACAAGGGAAGCATTGTAAACGAAAGTGCGTTGCTTGAATATTTTCAGTGATACTGGTGACTTTGGGGAGGTCAGTTGAAAGAAGAACAGAAAAACCTAGCCGAAAATATAATGTTTGTTTTAAAATGGTATGATTTGCTTCCTCAAAAGAGTTGCCACATCTAGTAGAAAAAGAGAATAAAAATAAACTAAGCCTTTAAAGGAGTAGTTCACTTTAAAATAAACTTTGGTAACGTACTGTACTTTATTTTACAGTGTCCTTGTTACGTATGTTACATAGTAATAACAGTAAATTATGCATAATTACATGCAACTAACCCTCAGCCAAATCCTAATCCTACCCTATCCCTATAGTAAGTACATTACTCCGTACCTAAATATATAATTACGCTGTAACAATGACACCTTAAAATAAAGTGTAACCCAAACTTTTGCTGATAATTTACTCACCCCCGTGTCATCCAAGATGTCCATGTCTTTCTTTCTTCAGTCGAAAAGAAATTAAGGTTTTTGATGAAAACATTCCAGGATTTTTCTCATCATGCACTTTACTGTTAACCAAACGGTTCAAGGTCCAAAAGACAGTTTCAGTGCAAACTGTTTAAAGGGCTTTAAACGATTCCAGACGATGAATAAGGGTCTTATCAAGCGAAACGATCGCTCATTTAATAAATAAATAACAAAGTTTACATTTTATAAGCTCAAATGGTTGCCTTGCTCTGATCTTTGATGCACATTCGTGACTCTCCTGTTCGAACTCATTTATCAAAATGAACGAATCTTTTCCCGAATCATTTCGTTCATTTCATTCGTTGAATGAACCAATTGACCAATTGAACCAATTGATATAAATACTAAACATATTTAGATATATCGAAATCACCATTGCGATTTCCCATATATCTAAATATGTTTAGTGAAATTTCCATCTAAAAAATGCGTGACATCACTTCCGGCGTAACCTCTGGAGACGGTTCATTTCGGTTCAGTTGGACATCTGATTCAGATCAATTCGGCGGCTGTTAACAAGAGGTAAAAACGATATAAATACTGTTCGTTTTCACAAACCGCTCGTTTCGTGTCTTAGGCCATCAATGTGTACTTACATTTACGAGTCACTAAATCATGTTTAATTTGGATTTTTCTGTGCATGCTCTTTGAGGTGGACCCCATAAAACTGCATTATATGACTGACAGACAACACTGGTTTGACCGAAAAAGGTCAAAATTGAAAATACTGTGGAAACAAAGACACCTACATCTTGGATGCCCTTGAGGTAAGCTAAAACACATCAAAAATTAATTTCAAAGTGAACTATCCCTTTAATTTCTTTTTGACTGAAGAAAGAAAGACATGGACATCTTAGATGACATGATGGGGGTGAGTAAATTATCAGCAAAAGTTTTTTAAAAAGTGAAATACTCCTTTAAACATTGTTATTTTTTTTTTTATGAGCGATCGTTTCGCTTGATAAGACCCTTATTTGTCTGGAATCGTTTAAAGCCCTTTAAACAGTTTGCAGTTTGCACTGAAACTGTCTTTTGGACCTTGAACCGTTTGGTTATCAGTGAAGTCCATTATATGGAGAAAAATCCTGGAATGTTTTCATCAAAAATCTTAATTTCTTTTTGACTGAAGAAAGAAAGACATGGACATCTTGGATGACATGGGGGTGAGTAAATTATCAGCAAAAGTTTTTTTTAAAAAGTGAACAACTCCTTTAAATTGTAGCAAACATGGGTCTTACAACAAAAGCTATACATCTTTCTTAAATGTTGCATTGTAGGCTATGTGGTACAATATGAGTTGCCATTTTACAATTTGTTTTTTCCTTAATTATTCAAAAATGAAGCACCAAATGCTGTTGTATGCTCTTTAAATGCAAATCATATACAACCACACTGCAGTTTGTCAATCACCATATAACAGGAGTGAAGACAGTGAGATGACTTTTTCAATGTGGGCAGAGGAATAAACTAAAAAAAAGAGGATTTATAGATGTGGGGAATTCAGAATTGTGACTCATAGCACATGAAATTAGCTGTCAGTGTCTCTTGCGGTTACAGTTTGTCAGCGACGATAGACTTTTGGAAATAATTTCGACTTCGTACAGTATATACTCCATCAAGACTCGATCCTCAAAATGTCAACATTGTTTCAGTAGACTATAATCGGAAAACCAAAACCAGACGGCATGCTAAATATTGATCTTGACATACCATTCTCCCTGACCTTTACGTTAAATTAGGTAGTTCTGCAAAGTGGGGAAGCTTCCTCATGCCTTTAGCCTGATAAGATGTGCACGTATACTCATCTGTGGTGAAAGTGTGTTTAAGTTTCAGTGGTTTGCTTTCAAAAGAACAACAGGAAGGCCACGTTCAGATGCCGTTCCTGTGATGGCTGACTCCCTCATGTGGCTGTCTGTAGTAAATGGGAAGCTGGGCTATATCAAAATGAGTAAAGTTACAAAAACTGTTGCTCACGGTTGAGTCTGAGTTCAATTCAAGCAGGTATGTTGCACTGAATAAACTTTTATTTTGAAATAGCTTACAGGTAGGACAACGGTAGTTCACAAATAAATTATTTAAAAAACCAAGTTCATTTCAAATTGTCACTTTGACTTCTGTTCATCATGCTTTATGCATTAAATTAACAAATTACTGGACATTTTGAAGACTATTTACAGCACTTTCCTTTAAAAAAGAATTTAAATAAAAATAAAAATAACATACACAAATAACCAATAAACCATTTGCAATAAATCTCAAAATATTTTAACAATTATTCCAAAATATGACATATAATATAAAAATAAAATGTTGCATTTTAACACTTACAAAGAAGAAAATATTCCCTTTGAAACCCATAATGGGCTTGAGAACTATCCAAACAATCTTTTATCATTTACTTTTGTAAATATAAATACAGGCTGTTTTGATTCTTCGGATGAAATACCTGACTTACAAACGATCAGAAACTGAATTGTGTGTCTTTTAATTCTTTAAGGAATATTTAGACTTATTATTTGTTATCCAGATACAAGATTTCCCAGTAAGTATGGCATGCTTCAATTGATAGGTGCAGGGATTCGGGTTGTATATCCAGTCTGATGCTCTCTCCCTTTGTCAGCATGACCAGCCGGATCATTGTCAATGTTCCTGGTTCAAAGCGAATAACCTCGCTCAGTTTTCTGACTTGTGTCGCAGGACCTTTATTTTTGAGCAAAATAACTCTCGCCTGCTGCTTCTTTGGCTGAATGGTCGAAGATGACCTTTTGTCGAAGATGACCTGGGCGTGGATATAGTAAAAGCCGCTGGTTTTAATTTCAACAGTGTTGTTATTTAAGGAAAGGGAGCTGCTATCACATGAATCACATATCCAGGTTTCATTCTTGTCTGAGGAAGAGAATGGAAATATATTAGTTTGCAGTCTGAAAACCTTTCCCAATTATTAACTAGACTTCTGGTAGGAACACAATGCTTAAATTCATATAGAAAGTTTATGATTCAATATATATATAGAGTTCAGATGCAAAAGCCTCTAAATGCCATTTGAAATTTTCTTCTTTAATGATGATTTTTATCAAGCTTGTATATTTAGGTTCAGTGATTTCACTTAAATTGCAATGATAATTACCTATTAATTGTTATTTAAGTGAAATTACTGAACTTAAATGTACAAGTTTGATAAAAATCATCATTAAAGAAGAAAATTTCAAATGGCATTTAGTAGGCTTTTGCATCCGAACTCTTCATATATATATATATATACCCCTTTCAAATATACTTAGGGGTTTAACAATACCATCATGTCATGATTCAATATATATATATATATATATATATATATATATATCACAATACTGAACTCACAATACGATATTATTGTGATACTTCTAGACATGGTAAAAGGTTAAAAAAGTTGTATTGTTGATTAAAATGTTAAATTTGGTATTTAAATTTGATATTAAATTGGGGGATTAACTGAATAGGCTTGGACTATTCATGCACAGGACAATAGTGACAAAAAAATGTAATTAAAAAAAATTAACAAATTATATTTGGGGGTAAAATTTTGCATATTGGAAGCATTTCAGTTATTTCACTAGCCCCGCCCCTTTTCAGCGTTGAGCTCATTGTCTTTTGACTTCCGGTCTGTATTTTGACAGCGATCTTGCATAGGTATGAATGAACTGCTCGTAAAAAATTTCCTGGTCGACATTTGTTAAGACATCTGCTTTACAATGCTTATGATAAACATTACAACGCTCATGATAAATTTTGTTAACTCTACAATAAGTAAATGCACTTCACCAGCTAATTACTCCTTGACAGCGATGCCATAGAAATATACAGAGCGACCGCGAAAACGGAAGTTCAAAGACAATTTTCTAAAGATGACGGCGCCCACGTTTCTCTGGTGCATAAGGTCTATACACTCACCTAAAGGATTATTAGGAACACCTGATCAATTTCTCATTAATGCAATTATCTAATCAACCAATCACATGGCAGTTGCTATAATGCATTTAGGGGTGTGGTCCTGGTCAAGACAATCTCCTGAACTCCAAACTGAATGTCAGAATGGCAAAAAAGCAATTTAAGCAATTATGAGCGTGGCATGGTTGTTGGTGCCAGACGGGCCGGTCTGAGCATTTCACTCACAATCTGCTCAGTTACTGGGATTTTCACGCACAACCATTTCTAGGGTTTACAAAGAATGGTGTGAAAAGGGAAAAACATCCAGTATGCGGCAGTCCTGTGGGCGAAAATGTCTTGTTGATGCTAGAGGTCAGAGGAGAATGGGCCGACTGATTCAAGCTGATAGAAGAGCAACTTTGACTGAAATAACCACTCGTTACAACCGAGGTATGAAGCAAAGCATTTGTGAAGCCACAACACGCACAACCTTGAGGCGGATGGGCTACAACAGCAGAAGACCGGACCTTTGCAAGAGTTCACCAAAATTGGATAGTTGAAGACTGGAAAATTGTTTCCTGGTCTGATGAGTCTCGATTTCTGAATTTGGCGTAAACAGAATGAGAACATGGATCCATCATGCCTTGTTACCACTGTGCAGGCTGGTGGTGGTGGTGTAATGATGTGGGGGATGTTTTCTTGGCACATTTTAGGCCCCTTAGTGCCAATTGGGCATCGTTTAAATGCCACGGCCTACCGGAGCATTGTTTCTGACCATGTCCATCCCTTTATGGACACCATGCACCCATCCTCTGATGGCTACTTCCAGCAGGATAATGCACCATGGCACAAAGCTCGAATCATTTCAAATTGGTTTCTTGAACATGACAATGAGTTCACTGTACTAAAATGGCCCCCACAGTCATCAGATCTCAACCCAATAGAGCATATTTGGGATGTGGTGGAATGGGAGCTTCGTGCCCTGGATGGTGATGCTATCCTATCAATATGGGCCAACATTTCTAAAGAATGCTTTCAGCACCTTGTTAAAGGTGAAAGTGGGTCAAACACAGTATTAGTATGGTGTTCCTAATAATCCTTTAGGTGAGTGTATATACAAACATGTAAACCTAATTTAATTTTAACAATATAAAAAGTTGCTTTCTGGCACATTAATTATAAATTCTAACACAAATACATAAAAGAGTATCATTTTTATTTAATTGAATTGCTCTTTTCATTTTCTTGTGTAAATGTTCCATTTGTGGGGGTCAGAGCTGCCGTTCATCCCACATATATATGAAAAGACACTTCACACAGGACGTGAAGTGAGGTCGGGGAAGGAGAGACTTTTGAAGGAACGTTTCGACCTCCTTCCTCGTACATAGAGCCGTGCGCATTTAGGCTTTTTAAATTTCCACTGATTCACAACGCCTCTGCGATAAACATTCAGTGTCACCTCAGGGGTGTCATTGTGGTGACTGAATCTGGTTCAGCGAGGCGACAGTCACACGAATGAGATGAGAGTGCTTTAAAAAAAGGTACGACCTCCTACTCTAATAGTGTAAAGGTAAACTTCCTGGTGACTTCAAGTTACCTCACAGAAAACGACTAGTCCGAGTTTATTTACAGATGTGATGTGTAGTTGAATGTGGTAACTTGACTTAAATCACTTTTAGGCCACAAAAGATTATTTAAAAGCAGAGAACCACATGTCCAACTTCCTCAATGCAGCAGGGAAACCAAAAGACATAGTGACACAACCAAAAGTCCCACTATCTCTTGTTTTCATGATATAGAGAGAAGCGAGAGATGCAGAAAAAGTGCAAAAGGGGGAAACAGGAAAGAGAAAAAAGTGTGAAGACTGGAAGAAAGATGTTCTCTTACCTCTGATGAGACTGATATAGTCTTTAAAAGACAGCCCGTAATGGGATCCTGAAAGTGCAACTTGATTATTTTCACGTTACAAATAAAAAAAAACTAAAACTATTATTTAAAGAGATACAAATTTTCCCCCAAATAGGAATATTTCCCAGAATGAAAGATATAGCTTAAAAAAATACCTAAAGACTATTGACAGAACTGATATCTATTGTTTATATTTCTGTTCACATTGGCTATCTATTATTCACAATAAAAAAGTTCAACATGTCTTACCTTTCAGTTGGCCAGGTGTGGTGATTTTTTCTGTAAAAGAGTATTAGATTGTTACTTTCATGACGAAGGTGAGCAATTTTCGTTTAAATTTTACTTTTGAAGGAAAACAGATTAATAAGCAAACCTGTTGAATTGGACTCTTCATTTCCAGTCTTGTTTGTTTCAGACTAAATAAAAAATAAAAACATCAAAATGCTTATCTCAAAATTACAATCCAATCTCATGTGAAATGTAACTATTTTACGTTGTGGCTATACTGTATGAATTCGTACAGTGTGAATTGTTCGAAAATGTACGATTTGTTTTAAAAAAAAACGATCCACCCTTAAACCAGAACACTACTGGGACATAAGGAGATCGTACAAAAAAAACCCAAAACAAATTAGATTCTAGGAATTTAATAAGAATTAGCCAGCAATTCTAGCCTGGCTAACGTCAGACCACATTTCATTGACATAGAGTGCCGAAGTGATGACGTCACTTTGTAGGACAACTCGGAAGCTAGCAGCGCATGGGTTCCCTCGATCAAAAAGCTATGCATTTTCCCCATAGACTTCTGAAAAATCACAAAATGTAAGATCTGTGTTCAACAAAGAGTTGTGACCCTTACACGTTTTGTCTATCGAGATAATCTTTACAAGTTCATCCAAAATGTATACATTTTGAAGCCTATATAAAAAATTTTAAAAACACAAGCAGGTTATAACTGGTGTGTTTTATGTCATAGATCAAAACGTGAAAATATTTAGAGGCTTTGTTCACCGCAGACCTTATTTCAGGCGATTTAGCAAAAACCCATTCAAAAAACCCATAGACTTTAGAGCAAGGGGACCAGGAATGCTAAAATGCTAACTCACTTCCACGTTTTGGCCTACAGAGTGACGTCGTAACTTCGGCACTCTATTGAGACGTGATCTGGGAACCACATGTTCATATTCTTTTATTTGAGGCGTTGTTTATGAATGCCTAGAGCCATTTATTGTGTGCTACGAATGTTTATCAAACGCGCCTGTACGTAGCTCATAGTCAATCGTTTCAATTATACCAGATGGCGTATGTAGAGTGAAAGAATTTAGACGAGGGAGAAGACGATGGGTCAGAGATTTATTTGCGCTCTAAACTACTTAGAACAATATCCAAGGCTGCATCGAAAGGTAACTTCGTGTCCGCTGCCATGTTTGATTCTCTGTTATAAACCAACTGCTTTGGTGTGTCGCATAGACATCGTCAACATCTTGCTGCTCTCTCCCCGTTCTGTTAACACAGTCTCATCCATATAACTGTCATATAAGTCATATAACTGACGTCTTGGGACGTCTTTTGACCATACGTCAACATCCGCCTTTTTAGGGTACCCTTAAACGTCGGTTACATGACGATCCCGGGCCGTCATACAACTGACGCTTTACCTTTAACGTCGGTTAGGTGACGAGGTAGGTTTAGGTCTGGGGTAGGGTTAGGATCCGATAACGTCATCTAACCGACGTTTAAGGGCACCCTTAAAAGGCGGATGTTGACGTATTGTCAAAAGACGTCCCAAGACGTCAGTTATATGACGTCTTGGGATGAGACTGCGCTGGTTCTGTGATTGGTTCCCTCGCTGAGGCGAAAATTTGGTCCATAGTATCCAGACTGCCTAGCAGTGTGAATAAAATCGCACTGCGCAAAGGCAGTATGGGGAAACCCACGCAACAATAATTCACCAAAACGTAAAATTGTTACAAATTGCCATAAGACAAATTGCAATAAACTGAGAAATATCAGATTCTATTGCAGTAAAACTTAAGTGTGACATTTGTGACAATACTGTACAATGAAAACATGACTTTCAAAACATTGCTCAGTTTATTTGAGCACCCCAACCAATTACATTTGCTCAACCTATAGCATAGGGTTGGGGTTGGACCATTGGGTATACCAATGCCAGACGGGAGAGTATGCTTGAAAACAGGCTACACTAAAGTTTTTCTTACATGATAAGAGTCAGTGCGGTTTTATACAAACACAGGTCACTTTACCTTTTTGTGCAAACTCATTCCAAGATATACCGTCATTATCAAAAGAGCTGAAGACATTAGGCAGCACCAGCCAACCAAGAGACGGAACCTGGGGTTATTCGAGCCAGTCATCTCTGTGACTATAGCAGGGCCCAAGAGAAAAGAATCAAATGAATCATTGAAACCAAAGATACATTCACAGTGAATCAAGTGGGAGAAAACGCCATACAGCTTACTGACCTAAATCTATGTACAGCTTAAGAAAGCACAACATCAAATCTATTTAAACCTGCAGGGATAGTACAGTATATGAATATTTGCATACAAACCTATTCCCGTTTTTACTTGCAGGTCTCAGACCATCTAATCGCCCTCCACACCGGTTTCTAGTTTTGCATGTATGTATGTCTAAAAGAGCAGTGGTTTGTCTCTAAGGTGAATTCCCAAGTTGGCCACAAAGATACCCAGTACTCAAACTCAGGTGGGTTGAACATAACCCACTGAGTGTTCAGAAGTTTGAAGTTGGACATTTTTTTTTTTCAGTTTACAGTGAATTGAACACATTATCTTCCAAAGGAAATGTTTTACTACCGATGTGTTTCGATTTGGTGCCAGAATGGATTCGTTCTTGCATGGAAAGTCATTGTGTGTTTGCTGTCAATGTGTGAGTTTTCCAAAGAGTTTCCCATTATTGTTCCCCTCCGCTTTCTTAAAACCAGTCAGCAATACAAAATGAGCCTTCATTTACCCGACTGACCTAATCAGTCTAGTTTGAAAATAGTGGCATACTGTATATTGAATCTGTTTTTAAAAGGAGACTCCTTGAAGCCTGTAGATGCCCAATGTGTTCAAGAATATAACCAAATATTTAGGCTTAGGAGGATCAAAAGTAACATTTTAAGAATTGGTAATTGGAAATTGATCAACTTCTAAACTGAATGATATGGTTTACGCATCCCCCTATGGGGGTTATAGTCATAAATGTGTTGTTAAACTCTATTTAGATAGACTATGTAGATTTGTCACTGACCTATGGCTAAATTAAAAGCCTCAATGAAAATTAATTTTTCAATTAAAATCTGCTGTAAGGAATATAAAGAATGACAGTGAAATGACAATATTCACTAAGAAATACTGTATCACAATGTATGAGATAATGAGAGAGATTGCTTCACTCACCTTAGTGTGTGCTGTAGTGTGAAATGTGGCTGTGAGATTGAATGAGCATCTCATCTAGACATGGTCTCTCCCACAGGGTTTCCCCTTTTTTTTTATGCTCTCATGTTTAAGCCCTGGACCTCTCTCTCTCTCTCTCTCTCTCTCTCTCTCTCTCTCTCTCTCTCTCTCTCTCTCTCTCTCTCTCTCTCTCTCTCTCTCTCTCTCTCTCTCTCACACACACTCTCTCTCTCTCTCTCTCTCTCTCTCTCTCTCTCTCTCTCTCTCTCTCTGTGTGTGTGTTTTTCTCTGTCTTCCTCTGTTTCTTTCGGTAGCGGCTGTGGTTGGAAACATAAGAGACAGTGGATGGTCAGAACTCAGAACATCACTACTAGACAGAAATTAACTATTAATTTAATTTCTGGAAGAAGTTGAAGTAGAAAGTTGAAGTAGAAGTTGCTAAAAGTGATATATTTCAGATTCAGTGAAAATCAATCAAATTAACTTTTTTAATTTCTGCCTGTTTGTCGTAAGAGGTGCAGAGATCTCAAGGATGATCATTTAGACAAATACGTCCTAAAACACTTTCACTTCAGCTCTACCAGACTTCTGAAAAAGAGGAAAAGGTGGCTTGACTAAGGCGATATTAAGTGTATGCGAGATTGTGGTTTTTCATCCGGGGGAGGGGGAGGGGAGTGGGTGTGGCTACCATGTTTATACTGATAAAAAGTTGTTGTTTTTTCCCCTAGATCCACTCCATTTCTTCTTTTCTTCTCTTGGATTTGTTGGGACACCCCCCTTTCATGTGTTTGTACTTTCCTATGAAGACATGCATACCACACACTCCTACACAACTGCCCACACAAAGACAAACACACACTTGTACTGTCACTGTCTCTCTGTTGTGAACAGTGAAGTGAACAACCTTGGTGTCACATCAACATAGCCAGACCAGACCACATTCCTAGAACATATGAAAGTATTTCTTACTGAGTGAAGTAATTCTTCAGATGATATCAAAATAATTCAAGTAGAAAAATAGCAATGCCTCTGATTGGATGAGCCAAATTTGATGCAACTATGGGTGTAACGATACCCTCATGTCACGATTCGATACATATCAAGATACCGAACTCACAATATGATATTATTGTGATTCTCTGAGACATATGATAAAACATTAACGTACTGTTGATTAATTTATTTAATTTGATATTAGTGGGTTTAAATGAATAGGCTTGGACTATTCATGCACAGGACATAAAAATATTCATGGTTCTGAAGCTGAAAATACTGAATTATTTTATTATTTTGAATTATTTTGGCTCTGCTGTTACAGACTTTTTACAGGATTTCTCCATGACAACGACCGACAATCAGCGCAGCTGCTCTTAACTTTGAGGAAACATGATGATTATAAAAAATGTATGTCTTTTCTGATTGGAAAGGTAATTTATTATACCATTTCTTAATTTAAATGACTATAGTATTAATATAATAGTAAATAAAGTGCGTGGTGGAATCATCTGGCGTTACATTTAAATGTTTAACCGTTTGCGAAGCCATCTCGCTGGTTATTTGCGATGCATTCCGTGAACTTTCTCGTAGCCGTCCGTTTGGAGTGTGCCTCTGAAAAATCTCAGTTTCGAGGGCTATGTAGCCCTACCCCTTCACCCTACCCCTCGATCTCAACAAGAATCGGGACACCCTACCCCTAGACGTGAAGCGCAAAACGGAGGAGTAGGCCCAAGGGGTAGGGGCAAGGGGTGAATTGGAATTGGGCCTTAAGCCTAGTTCACACTACATGATTTTAAGCCCGATTTAAGTCCGATTTGCAAAGTGTATGACAGCATTCTGACACTTGGGCTACGGAGAATGCATATTGGAAATGCCCTGTTTACCTATCCTTGAAATTTAGACGCATCCTAGTGGCAGCAAAAATTATTTTGCAGCCAGTGTGTTGTAGCAACTCTCCATAGACATTTTAGCTGGAAAAACCAAACTCTGGTCAGGCCAATCACATCATGTATAGAGTCGGTGGGCGGGCTTAATATAATGATGATTAATAAATTCACTGCTACTTGAAAACAAAGAATGGCTCCTGCTGGCGAACAGCTGTCTTTCGATACAGCTTTGACCGCTACTCCAGATGATTCGAACTTAAGCTTTTCTTTGAAACCAGAACAAAGAACGGCACTTGAGTCATTTAAAAAAAAAGTTTTGCTGGTAAAAGTTTAATATATCAACTTGCTCCGCTGGTGGGAAAACGCATGGGACTCAGCCGTCACCTTCTTCGTTGCTCTGATTGGTTGTAGCGCTATCCAATTGCATGCAGAGAGAATTTGAAAGACAACCGTTTATCCCGCACCTCAGATTGAGCCCTGTCAATGATGAGTTCCCAAACCTAACATCTTAATGTAGACATCTATACTACTGTTTACCTATCATAGGTTTTAAAAGTGATAGTGTCAAACAAAAGTGTAAATATGATAGTATCAAAGCTATACTGTCTCGTTTTGTCAAAAACATATTCATTGTGATACTGTATTTAAAAAAGAGGTATTCTTGTTGTAGAATAGATTATATGTAGAACCATTCCCATTACTATACTGAAAGTGTAGCACAACTATAGATGCACGTGTCATTTAGGCCTTTAGCTCATATGATCTCAATTTTGAAAGTGTAACCACCCTTCCTTTTCTAATTAATGAAGGTGGGGACTCATATCTTAATGAGGGAAACTTAAGCAGATTTCTTTTGGAGATAAGATCAGATGCAGAGATATAAATAGAAGGTCAATAACAGATTGTAGGCGGATACTCTTCAGTGGGAAACTCTCATTCGTGCACTTGGTACTTTTTTCAGGTCAGTCTTCTTAGCTTGTTTTGCTAGAGTCTCTCTGTTTTCATTTGTAGGGGAGGGGGAAAAGTGTGAACAGGTGAAGGAATCGAAAGAGAGAACAAAAGAGAGAAAGGAGGAGAGATTAAGATAATTTTGGGAGCATGTGTGGCTCATTCTCTTCAGTATTCCATTTGAGACACTGGTGACATTATTTATGAGGTTAGCCACAATGATTATGAAATGCCCTGTGCTTTCCCCACCGTTGAATTTTGCAGCTGGTACTACAAACAGTTTATCTACAGAGCCAACCAAGATAAAACTGTGGATGGGTAAGTAAAACTGTCCAGTTGACTGCTGTTGCCATATAGGTATTCATTTTAAAACATAGGCATCATACACTTGCCGGAAAAACTGGACTAAAATGACTGAGCATTACACAAATAAAGACTGACACAAATAAAGTCTTTATGACCACTACAAACTCACACAAACCATTGTTTTGAGTACCTTTTTTTAAAAAATCAACTCAAATTGGTCTGACTGATTTAAAAGCAAATAAATTCTTACCCAGTAATCTGAAATCCTGAAGGTCATGGAAATTGATTCAAATGAGTAGGAACAATTGAAGTGAAAACTGGAATAATTTGCTTACAGACTCAAAAGGTACCTATGTTTGTGTGTGGACTAACTAATTTACACGTTTAGGGTACATGTTTTATGGAATGAACAGCACCTTGTGTCACAATTTCCAACTAACAATTTCCAGCATTCATCTTCCTCTTGTTGTAGCAAAAATCCTGTCAAACATCATCACTGTTTAAGAGACACCCAGAGTCAAATTAATAAAGAAAGAGAAGTATTTATTCTTGCAAGAATAGGCCCAGTCACCAACACAGCAGTTACACTGTGTGGAGTGAATGAGACGCCCTCACACTCTTAGAAGAAATGGTTCTATTTAGAACCAGAAATGGTCCCATCCCCCGCTTCATATATGGAACTCCAAAATGGTTCTATATAGAACCTTTTTTTTTTTGGTAAAAGGTTCTATTGGCCAAGTACAGACCCCGAGGGTTCTATATAGAACCCAGAGGAACCCTTTTTTAAGAGTGTATAGAACCTTTTAGGGGTTCCAAATACGTAGCGCTGATAGAACCTTTTCTTCTAAGAGTGCAGGGAGACATGAGACAGCTCTTATAGTCTTTTGAAGGTTCCTCTTCACCCGCTATACCTTTCACCCACCCAGGGGTGCGTTTCCCGAAAGCATCGTTAGCCAACTATGCTCATAAGTTCCGTGGTTACTAATAGAGTTCAATGGAAATTGCGACCAACTTGCGACCATAGTCGGGAAACGCACCGCAGATAAGGTCCTTACTGTGATTTAGTCTCTACTTAAGGACACAAACTGGTACTGAAACAAACTTGCCATCCCTAAGGTCAGAGGTCCTGTCCCATATGTTCCTGAAACGTCACCCACAACCACGTAGACATCTATATTTTACTCATGGAATAGGTTCAATGGAAACACATGGCTCAGACTACCTAGTAATCTTCACTAATGATTAAAATCCCCGGCACCACCATGGTGATGGCCAATGGGGAAGCCACTGGAGATGGAGAACCAGGTGGAGCCAAAGAGCCCACGCAACGTCGCCGGCATTGAGATGGATGACAAAGACTGAGTCAGATGGGACCGAAGGTCCTGCAGGCAGAACGACGCCTGACCAAGGCGGAACAAGGGAGCCCGGTGAAGTCGTAAGGTTGAGGATTTCCGGTGGAGCCAGGCAGAGACAATGCATCGACAGACCGTGGTGGAGGTTTGGGTTCAGAGGTAGAGACTGAGCCAGAGACTAGGCAGAGCTGATGGCCTGAAGGACTGAAGCAGATCCATACAGTTCACTGCAGGAAATTAAGAGGAACTGTAGGAGCTGTTAGAGAAGACGGGAGAGGGAGGCTGATTTAGGGCTGGGTGGAACCAGCTGGAAAACAGGAAGTTCAGGGTTGGATGGAACCAGCTGGGTCTGGAGAAACAGAGGAATATACACAAACACCTCTAACAGTCCTAAAAACGTTCCAGCAAACATCCACTACGAGGGGGTTGTGGGCGGGGCTTTCCTCCTAGCCATCAAACTACACTAACGCTCCCTCGGTAGCACACGATGTACCTGGTCAGACACACCTTGTGGTCCAGGCCAACGACTCCTGTCCGGTGTTTAAGTTTGGGCTCGTCAATTGCGGCGAGCTGAAGTCCATGGTCTGCTGTGGGCTCTTATGCAATCTCCATCATGGTAGTGGATGTCTGATTCCTAGATGTGGAGTGGGGCTGGTGTGGTCCTCAGCCAGGCCGATGGTGAAAGGGGAGGCATTAGCCGCGTTTCCACTGCCGGGCCAGGGCCGGGCCGTGCTAGTGCGTGCCAGGGCCAGTCGCGTTTCCACTGTCACTTCCGGGGCTTGATCGGGGCTTCCTCAGGGCCAACGGCCAGGATTTCTGTTCCGTCGAATACCTTGGGCCAGAGGGGGCCAGCTCGGGCTAGAGGCGTGCTCAAGGTAAAAGGCGGAGTTTATCGGTGTTATGGAACGTTATGATCTGAAGCAAGATGCACGGGTGTCCATGTTTAACCTATTAACCGTTTAAAATTGCATAACATTTTAATTTGAACTGTAGGCCTATGCCAAATGCTGCGCAACAATATATAGGCTATATACAGCTACATATCGACGAATTTTCAGACATTTGTTTGATTTTTTTGCCCCTTAAACATTTTAAATATTTGACAAATTAATATTTTTTAATTTGGTTTTCTGAGGCCAAATTAGAACCTGGAAATGATATTTTCCCCGCAGTGCTGAATGAGAAGAGCCGTAACCACAGCCTACAGAAAGGGGATTTATGGGTGATTTATAGGCTATAATAAATGTGTCTGATAATAAAATAATATAAAATAACGAGGCATTAATTGTTTATTAATAAACTATTGTTTTCTAAATGATTTTCGGCTAAAAACATATCTCCATCTCCGGATGCACATTTAGAGAGAAATTAAGCTACATAAACATAGAAGATATTGGCTTTCAATTCGAATTTGTTCGTTTTAAATTGGACATTTAAAGCTTTAATCTACAAAGGATATAACCCCTGTAGACTAAAGCTTTAAATGTCCAATTTAAAACGAACAAATTCGAATGCGGTGGCTGTTTCAGGTCTCGCGCTTCAGTTCACGGAGATCATGAAGCGCGCCTTGATTAATTGTTAAAGCACAACGTTTTCTTGTTATAAATAAATTTATTTGCGAATAATGTATTATTATTTTCTGTATGACCAGAAATTAAAGAGTATTTTAAGTTGTTTCCACTGAAAGAAATGCAATGAAACTGTTCACATGGGCGTCTCGCAGCCATCAGTGCGTGCTCCACACACACTGGATATGCGCTGATATTTGTCAAAAATATTGTGTTTATTTGTGCTCTGTTCCTTTTTTGGATAAAGGCATCTTCTACATATGCAGCCTAATAAAATGTTACAATAATGATGATGATGGTTATTATTATTATTATTATTTGCAGACACGGAGTTTTTGTGAAATGGACGTTTTGCTTATTTTCAATTGGCAATTTCAGTTTGAAGGGTGATGGAAATGGGGCTTTAACTGCTCCGTACTTGCTGTGTTTTATTTCTATAAATTAATTTCGTTTCAAATGGGGTCCAATCAGTTATTAAAGGTGTTAAAAATACTCTGTATCTCGAGGTTGCGGCGCGCACACTATGCACCGAGTATTAACCGATGGGCCTCGGTTAACGATTAATGAATAACTTGAAAACGTGCCCGCAGCCCTACTTGTTATATCGGGCAAAAAATCGCTGCTTGAAATGGAGAATCGCCTGTACTGGTCTCGGGACACTATTGCAGCCACTACGGCAGTTGAGTTAATATACATGCTATCTTCCTAATTTAAAAAATAAATTAATTCATAATACCCGCTGAAATGGGTTGGGTTTTATGACGTTTGATCCTGAAAGGCGTGTTAGGGGTGGGGTCTGGGGCAGCGCTGTGGGGCTACTGGCCCGGCAGTGGAAACGCAAGCCCGGTGCTTGAGGCCCGAGGCCACTAGCTCGGCCCGGCTCGCTGTTAGCTCTGGCCCAGCCCTAGCCCGACAGTGGAAACGCGGCTATTGTTCACCAGCACCCGCTCCACGAATGCAGCAAAGTTTTCCCAGGGACCATCCGCAGGGATGCGTGCCTTGGTCCGCTTGCTCAGGCCAGGGTAGTAAAATGAAAAGAGAGAGCAGTCCTTGTAATGCATCTAGCATGTAAGATGGAGGACGTCCCATGTGTTCTTCCAGCGGAAGGTCTCCCTGCTCTGGATGTCCAAACAGCAAAAACGAAAATCAAAAAGTGAAAAAACACAGCAAAAATTTACTTTATTGGTCCATTCTTCTGTCACGGATTGCATGTGTAAATAGCACAACGACTAAGGAGATTCAAATAACATTCCTTTAATGACAAAAAAATGATGGAGAATAGGAAGATATTCAAACTACACACAACATAACATGAACAAGAATAGACAGAGAACATAGGGTATAAATACATGAGCTAACAAAATGAACTGATGAAAATAATGACTAAATCAAACACACATGAAAACTAGGGGAAACATAATATAACAGACAAAAGGGGACCATCAAAATAGAGTATTTCCTCAACGTGTACCACAACCAGTGTTTGTATGAATATATAATTAGATTTATATTATATTAAATATAAATTATATTTTTCAAGCAGTCAGTCTCATGAAAAGACATGTCATTTGCAACAAGCTTACCTGTGAATTCTCATTTGTCACCCTGCAGTACGATTGATGTAGATCTGGGTTGAACTACCATTCTACTTGCCACATGATCAACTTAGCTCACTATGCTTTTGAAAACGCAGACCTGGACAGTGGAGATTTCCGCAGCTGCTGGTAACCTGTGGGAGTGAGAAATTGCTTCATAACTGTCACCTCACTGATTTTGATAAAAAAAAAAAAAAAAAAAAAAAAAAAAAAAATTAAAGCTGCTCTGTTTCCCCTTAAACTACCTCTGCATTTTAAAACCAAAGTTTTTTTTCCTGTAAATAGAGATTGATTCATCCATTAAATAGGCTAATATATTTTAATAAACATATATTTGGAGCAAACTTCAGCTGAAACGGTGCAAGCAGACAGTCCAGTGGTCTCATTTATAAAACATACATATCAAATTAAACCCTAGCCTAATTCTATGAATTTCATCATGAAGAGATCAAGATTTATAAAGGCAGAAATTGACATGAAAATGTTTTGCAAAAATGTTATTCATCACGTTGTTGCATGATCAAACTATAATGAGAATTGCAGTAAAATGTGAAGTTAAGTTTTTTACCCCCAGCGAGCTATATTTATTCAATACACGATTCAAACAATTATAAGCTTTCTTGGCATCAGATGCTGAATTTTTCTTGTGCTTTGAGAGATGGAGAATAATGAGATCACATCCAAATAAAAGTGTAAGGGTGTTCAATTATAGTTATGTATTCTCCTAAAGTAATGGGGCCATGCTATCATTTATGGAATTAAAATACAGCTAAACATTTTCAACATTTCTTACATTGAGAAATTATCATAAGCAATCAGATGCAGCGTTAACAGCACTGTGCATCAGGTTTGTCCCCTTGCATATAGCCTACATTGATATCGTGCTGGAAAGGGTCGTTTCATCATGTTGACGCCTCTGCACTGTTCCACTGGGCACTTCCACTTCTCTCACTCCCAATTTGGCTCACCTCGTTTCCATTTTCCATTGCCCCCTCAATGTATTTATTAATATGCTGCATCACTCTTTGCATCGCATGACCAGACAGTGTTTTTGATCTGAACTACAGAAATGCAGTTAATAAATATTTAGTGAAAATTTAGCTGACTTAATTTCTATGTCAAATAAACAGCTATCGACCTTAAAAATCGACCTGGGTAATCTAAGCTATCAATGGTAGTTTGTTCATTTTCATTAATCATTAAAGACTTACAAATATTTGAATATTCAAATATTTGTTGTATATGATCTTTAGCAATCTATGGATCTCAATGTTGACATTACAGTGCAATCTACCATATGATAACAGATTAATGTACAGATTAAGAAAACTGATGACTGTGTTGAAAGCAGATAAAAATCGAATGACTATCTCTTTCCAACCAGAAAATAAATACACAACATAATTGGAAATTGTGGTCTTTGACTGTTCCGAAAGACAGACCACATGCTGAAGGTGAAATGCAAATTATTGAATGGCACACAAATACACATTTACTGTATATGTGCATTGTCTATCGATGTTAATTCAAATCAAAAAGATTATTTATGCACTACCAAATGCAAACTGAACAGCTAAGAAATGTGAAATCCATTAAGAGTTTTGTGTCTAAATCTCATGGTGGCATGGGACATCAACTAGCCTACATCAACGTTTTGTTTGCTATTAGTGACATTTCATTTTCTTATCTAGCGATTTGTTAGATGTTGTGCATAAGAAGGGAGAGTTGCTCTCTCTCTCTCTCTCTCTCTCTCTCTCTCTCTCTCTCTCTCTCTCTCTCTCTCTCTCTCTCTCTCTCTCTCTCTCTCTCTCTCTCTCTCTCTCTCTATGCCAAAAAATAGGCCCTACGTTAGTGCCTGGAGGCTTTATTATACATCCTTGTAAAAAATAATATTTTATTATATTTTCATCTGAACATTATACTTACTTCTAAATATAAAATAATGAATATATCGTATGCCAATTTGATAATTTAGATTATTTTGTTCAATCTTACAGTCCTTTAGAGTTGAAGTTGATGTGGACGCCGTGACGTCATCGTTTACTTCCTCGAGCTTGTCGCGCGACACCGGTTAGCATGATAGCGCGAGGCGGTTAGCTTCGCTACATCAATCATGTTTTAACTAGTCGGATTTTGTACCAGCAAGCACAAAATACAACCACACTGTTAGTAAACCAATAAAACTTAATCTATATGCAAAACAACGATTTTTCGTCAGGAATAACCGCGTCTCGAGGTAGGAAAAACAGTGGCGAGCTAATATGCTCGCGCTGCTCAAAGCGGACTTAAATTTGTCTGATTATTACTAATTGTTGTTTAGTTTATCACTGACAGGCAGTCGAAATGGATGAATAAGTTATGTTTTTTAATAAATGAACAAATGCTATGTTAAAAATCCTGGCTGAACACTTTTTTGATGGTTATTTAGCATCAAATGACTGTTAGCAGTTTGTTAGTAACGTTAGCAGGCGTTTTGGACTTTGAAACAATCTTTTTAGTTTATAGTTTAATAACGTTTGCTTTTTAAAGTCTTAAAAACATATGTTTTTAAGAATTAGCTTCTTGTCAAAGCAAGACATTTTTTGGAAGGGTGGGGTGTGTTTGACAGTTGTGTATCAGTTGTGGCCTTTATGAACATAACACGGCTTTCCTTATAACTTGTAACGTTAGCTAGTTTATTATTGAATTGTATGTATTCAGTGGGATCAGTTTTTTTTTTTTTTTACTTTCATGTACAATGCAGACAAAATGGAAGAAGCAAGCAGTAACATAGAAGTGACCGTGAAAACCCTGGACTCCCTAAGCAGGAGTTACACAGTTGAGGCACAGGTGAGCTGGATTTATTATTTATTTTTATAATGCACATTGTCACGTGTCCTTTATGCTGGTGTCTTAACGTTATTCTGTCCACCACAATGTAAGGTGTAGAACGAGTTATGTGACTGCAGACTAAGACAGTAGTCTATTGCTGATTGTCTTTTCAAATCTTTTTGTTCTTCTACGTAGATGACCGTGAAAGAGTTCAAGGAGCACATATCACCCTCTGTTGGAATTCCTGTTGACAAACAAAGACTCATTTACCAGGGCAGAGTACTTCAAGATGAGAAAACCCTAACGGAGTACAGTGAGTTGATTTGCATAAAAACAGTGAATTGTACAAAGGAACTCCATTTTCTTCATAGTGTTAGTTCATAAATATAATTCCATAGAAATAAATTGCATAGTAAAACTACACTTTTTTTCCACCCAACTCAGCATGTGCTTTTGAATAATATCCCCTTTGCAGCCTTGTGACTTTTTCTATACTGTTTCTGTTCATCCATCTCTGTCTAGATGTGGATGGAAAAGTCATTCACCTCGTAGAGCGCGCCCCACCGCAGACCGCCCAACAGGGCTCTGGCTCGGGAGGCATAGCAGGGTCTTCTGGGGTGACACAGGGGGGAAATCAGAACCCGAATTCAACCAGTAGCTCCCAAGGGACCCCTCTTGGGCCTACGCATGACCGCAATGCTAACAGCTACGTTATGCTGGGTACTTTTAATGTTCCGGTTAACATTATGGACCCTCAGCAGATTCAGGTAGAGACTTTTTTATGTTCAGATGACTTAATATGACTTAATATGAGTGTGTTGATGTATATATAAATAAAATATTATAATATATCCTCAGATGTCGCTTCAGCAGATGATGTCAGGCATAGGAGACAATGCAAGGAATCCACGAGTCAATACCAGCACTGGGGTGAGTACCATTGTGAACTTAATGTTTTTTTGTTTTTTTTTCAAAAACAATTATAATTTTATTTATCTCAATGAGAGTAAAATATTTTACAGAATAGTTCTGTTTAAAATAAATGCAGTTATTTTCAGTTCTTATCAAAGAAAAGAAAACATCTCTGTTTCCACAAAAAACATAATACATTTAAATAATAAATATTTCTTGAGCACCAGTTCAGCATATGAGCCATTCCACCGAAAGGGTGACATTTTTGTCCCCAGGACATTATATGTATAAAATTGCATGAAAATTATCTCTAAAATACATTTTATTATTAAGCAAAATATCATGCATTAAGATAACTACAAATTTAAAACGTATAATTAAAAACATCACAGAAGAATAAAAAGTAGCATTTTCTGCATGTCCCCACTCTCCATCTCTAAACTTTACCATGAAATATTATGATTAAAATCTTTCAGAAATCTGATTTTTCTTGCATTGTTGTGACTTTATATCCAAAATGCTTTAAAATGAAAAAGAGAACAAACATTTGCTCTAATATTTTAGATAAAATACACATTTTAGTCATTTCCCTGGTTTTCATTCATCACCCGTCTGAAAAACGTAGAATATTCCACAAGACACATTTTCAACAGTAAGTTTCATCATCTGGATCTTCTGAAGGCAATGGGGCGACTATAAGTCACTCCTCTCATTTTCATTTCTGTATATTTGATAAAATTGTAACTATGAATGAGAAGGTCAATCTCAACATACAGTCCTGTTACCTAAGCTTTTTCTTAGATTTAATTTTTATATTAAAAAATATATAAATTTTTTGGTAAGGCACTAGAAATGGCTCACGCTATTAGCATCAATGCTATGTGGCCATATGCCATATATTTGATAACTTTTTGCTTAAACTCAATCCTATTGTTTTCATTCCTGTTACTATTTTTTTTCCTAAAAAAAATAAAATGAAACCACTATTTTTACCAGTTTTGCTTTGCCCATAATTTATACAATTATTTAATTAATTAATTAATTAAAAGGCATAAAAAATGCCTTTGTGTTTTTTTTTTTTTTCAAATCAAAATACACCTTGCTTTAATAGTGATTTTATTGGCACAAATATCAATTTTTTGAACATATAACCAACAATTTCTTTAAAACAAACACTTTCTTGTGGGAAAACATATGAATTAATTGACATGCTTCTAACTTGCTTTTTAAATGACACATAATTTTCGGTAACAGGATTGAGAAAACATGCATCCATATTCTGCTTAAACCTTGTCAAAAAAATAAATAAATAAAGTTTCCTGAGATTGACCAATACACATTTGAATAGTTAAATAGGTGTAGTATTAGATTCAAAATGGTCAAAAATAAAGTTTATTTTTGAAGAGTTACAACAAGCGTCACCCATTCGCAGGAATGGCCCATATAACAATGATTTCTTCAGGATCATGTGATGAAGTAATGATGCTGAAAACACTGCTTTGCCATCACAGCAATAAATTACATTTTAAAGTCCCTGTATGTGCCTTTAAAATGTAATTTAATTTAAATGTTCCGAATTCTGTTTTGGAGGTTTCCTACAGGTTTACATGTATCCAAGGTAAAAAAAAAAAAAGAGTAATGTATACATATATACATAATATATCTCATAATATACATTGCATATCACATCATTTCTAAAAAGCCCTGTTCACATCTTGTATAAGAGATGTTTTCGTCAATTCAATCCCAAATGGACGACTCTAAATACAGGTGTAAACAGGGTCTAAAACGTTTAGAGTTTGTCCACTAACAACCACTTTTAGAGGTAGTTGAAAATGTGTTCATCCCGACTGCTTTAAAAGTGTAGATGCTCATGTGGTCGAATGTGTTTAAACAACCATGAAATACCACCTTCTCTCCGCCTCCTGACCTAATTATGCGTAAACATTATGGGAAGCGCACTAGGAAGACAGGATTTAAACTTTGATGGTTGAAGACCCAAGTGAAGAGGAAAAACTGGAAACAAAACAGCTACTCCCAAATTGGATGTCATCTCTGGTGGCTTTCTCAGTGCTTGTATACACAGTCATACGATCAGGAGCGATGTCGTTGGTTTTTCCATATCAATTCCAGCTCGAGTCCTCATCCTTTTGAAGTGCATGCAAAGTAACTTCTAGGCCTCAGTGACTACTGTGTTTGAATGAGGGTCGGGTTTGTTTCGCGGGCAGCCAATTAAGACCATTGTGGAAAAATGTTACTTGTTGATTTTGACTTGCTGGTTTGAAAATTACTTGCTGATCAACAGTGAGTGCAATGGGGGGCAAAACCAGTAATCTTTTCACCCACATCCACTTCCATCATCCTGCGAATTTCACCTCTATACAGAGAGTATGTTGCAATTCATTTTTGCTGAAACAGGAAATGATCCCCTCTGTGTTTTGTTATATTTACATCCCTTAAAGCTTTTAATAAAACTCTTGGATTATCATGTTTACTTAAAATATAGAGAGGATTATTCATTTAGAGAGGAATATTTTTGTTGTACTTTTTACCCCTAAAAAGGGGTAAAAATGTGTCTTTTTTTTCACATGTCATTTTCATTCGTACTCAACATTGGCGTGCACCCTTGCACAGAAACTCCACTAGTAAGACCAATAGAAGTCTAAAACCTTTGGCGTTCCAGGAAAACCATAATACGACATCCAGCTTTCCCTGCAGCTGAATAAAATGCAGATGTTTTGACTGATTAAACATGAAGAGAATTAACTGAAAATAACACGAAATATAATGTTCTGTTTCTGTTCTGTTCTGTATAAATCTGTTTTCTCGGATGATGTATATTTATAATGCAATGTGCATCGACATAGCCTTTATCACTGTGTATAATACTATAAAATAACTTCTGCATATGCCATATCATTTCACAGAAGGAAGTCATTTTAATTACTTGACTGATGCTCTAATGAGATTTTGAAGGAAAATGTGATGTTAATCTTATAAATTGTATTGTGAAGCTGTGCTAAGCTAAAAACAGTTAGCATTTTAGTCTCTAAATTAAATTGCATAGAATGGTCTTAAAATTTTCCATAAATTTCAGAATTTTAACATTGGTTTAATTAATTCTAACAATATGACAAGAAGGAGCCAAATGTTTTCTTTGAAACAAGTCTACAGTGTTTGAAGTCCAAAGGCTTCATGAACTATGTATTTTTATTTGGGTATCCCATTTCTTGGATTTGGGTTCCAAATATGGATGCAAGTTAACAGATTAAGGTATTAGTTGTGTTGTTCAAGCTTATTTAGACTGTTGAACTTAGTTGAACAGTATTTTCTCTCTCCTGGTTATTTCTTAGGCAGTGTCAAAAGACAACAAAAGGCCAAACTCAATTGTTGTATGCAATGGTGTGATTCATTGGGAAAGAAAGAAAAAGGCAGAACACAAAATGAAGAAAGTAAAGATGAATTTGACTGATTTTTTTAGAGAAATATCATTACTGTGAATTATTTTGTCCATGATAACAGTGGTGTGTAAAATCGGATATTGTGACTGCCCTATTATACATTTACCCTTAAAAAAATATAGCATATATAAAAATATAGAAAATACCATAAACCATATATATACATTCACAATGGTGGGTTGATTTTCTTCAGGTTTAATCAGTCAAAATGTCTTTATCTGTGTTTTATTGAGCTATAGCGATCGCTGGATGTCATGGATGTCTATATTGGGGATTTCCTGGAACTTATTACTCATGAGTCTTACTTCTCTTCATGTCAAGTATGAATGGAACATAAATTACATTTACAAGTTTAGCACTCCATAATCCTCACATCGTCCTACTTTGGGTAAAAATAGACAAACAACTCTCTAAAGATATTTGAAGTAAACGCACGATAATCTATACGAATGGGCACACTTTTGGACTAAAAGCCCGGAGTTATGTAAATATAACAAAACACAGAAAGGCGTCAGCAGTTAACAGGTCTTGAAAAATAAAAAGAGAACGACAATGTTTTCCTCAAAAACAAAATGTTGCAAATTAAACAGTCTATATTATTTTTATACTCTTTCTTTCTTACAGACCAATGGCTCTGTAAACGTTCAGATAGATTTGGACCAGTCATTGCAAAGTGAGCCAAGACTGCGGCTGCTATTGGCTGAGAACTTGCTGAGAGACACCAATGCTGTGATCCAAAGACTGGAGGTAAGCGATTTCGTTGAAAATGATCTTGCTTGGCTAATTGCATACCCTTGTGTCAGGATGAATAAATGTGCATGCACATTCCTTATTGATTCTTTGATTATTCCTTAATCTCTGTCTGTGTTTATAGGGGCAGCCCACGGATGCCTCTTCTTCCCAGGAGGACTCTGCACCTCCACCCACCTCCTCCACTTCCACTCCATCTCCTTCTGCACAGCCCATGGATACTTCTCCTCCTCCGTCCAGTACCCCACCATCCTCCTCTTCTTCTACCCAGACTGAGGGAGCTCCAGCCCCTCCAGCAGGCCTCAAGTAGGACCTGGTTATTTATAATCATAATCTAATTATTTCAGAGAGAAATGCACATTTCATACGGATTACATAAGCAGAGAGCAGGCTGTAGTCTGCTTTCTTTTGAATTGTTCTGTTTAAAAGTAGACCTGTCTGTGACTGTGAGGCAAGTAGGCTACCTTAGATGCTGAGTTTCAGTTCATTAATGAGACGAGCTCCACGCGTCGGCGCCTCTGTTTCGTGATTACCTATCGTCTGCTATATTTACTTTTTATTTACTAAATTCAGAATTAAGTGTACAGTTCTTTTTTTTGTCTTTAATTTTTCCTCAAACAATGAGTAAAAAATTCCCCATGTAAATTACCAGTGAATTGCCACATGAAAGATTGATTTTGTGTCTTACTGAGGAATGACTAACAAATTTGGGGGGAAAAAGAAATGTGAGTTTCCACCTCTCAGTTTCTTAAACACCTGACAACAATTTTGTTTTTGTCTCATTTTACCTTTGGTTTGGCCTAATAATGAATTTTGTAGGAAATGTTCAGACACTTTAACATCAACCGCCTACAACACGAGAAAACAGAGGAAGTTCTTTAATCCGGGAGACAAGTTTCAGTGGTGAACGAGTAGGCATTACTTCAGTCTACCTAGACATTGTTGACATTTGACATTAGGTTAAGAAGTGTGGGTTCGTCTCTTTGATTTACCTCGCTGAATTAGGAAACTAACATTTTGCTGAGCTGTAAATGGTTCTATTTTCATATGAGGCTCGCCATTGAAAAGTTCATGGTCAGTGAGATTTTTAAATGTTTTTGAATGAAGTCTCTTATTCTCACCATTTATTTGATCAGAAATACAGTTAAATGGTAATATTATGAAATATTATTACAATTTTAAACTGTTTTAATATATGTTTGAATATGTTTGAATATGCTGATTTGCTGCTTAAAAACATTTCTTATTATTAACAATGTTAATAAAGTCCCCCTGTAGTCAATAATTGTATCCCTTAACTCCACTTTGATTACCAAAATTACATAATATGTACAATTAACAATATGTACAATTACATAATTTTTTTCCAAAAAAAAGTTTAAATATTGTTAAACTTTTTTTGGAAAAAAAATTTCATGCATTCAATAGCTTGAATGTAACTCTACATCCTAGCCTCATTTAATATACACGGTCCTAGGAATATGCACATGAGCCCCGTCTCCACTTATCAGCTCAGAGATCCATTCGGTGACGATCATGCATTGATTGGTTACAAGGTAGTTTGTGACATCAGAAACAGTAACACCAGCGATTTCAAACCGAATCTTCTGAGACAATGGTGTTGACTTATGAATTTGCACATGGTTTGTCTTAAAACATATTAAAAACACCACATAGACATTGAGAGATTTCCAAAATTTGTCACTTTTTTATTGCTTTCCCTAAAGCACTTTGTGCAAAGATTTTGATATTTGCTCTTATTTAAATATAAATTACTAACATTTGCAAATTCTTCACTATGTGTATTCTTCACTAAATTCTTCAAAAGGTGTAAAATATATGAGCATCACACTACTGCTTTTAAAATTAGGCTATTATTATCATCATCATTTAAACTACTAGCATAACTCTACATGTTGCCCCTTTAATGTATTATTATCTTTCATTTTTTGTATTTGACATTTAGGAAACGTTTATTAGATGCAGTAGTATTTATAGGCTTACTGTCTCTGATTGACTTTCTTGAAATTTCATAAATGTTTTTGGCTCTAGCTGATGTCCTCTTTCACAATGTCCAGGATGTCTTGAATATGGAAGTATGAATAAAATCTGAGTGTCTTCAGAAGATGACAACTCTTTAATCAGTGACAGATTCCCCCAACTCCTCTCGTCTTTTAAGGATTATCATGTACCCAAAAGCGTCTGTTTGTCTTATGTTTTTGTGTAATGTAAAGCAGAAGCTGATCATCTATTATCGCTACTTTGTCTTTGAAACAGCAGCTCCCTTAGAATAAAAAGACCGTTATGTTTAATTGGTGTGGACGCTAATATATTTATCGTTATAGTTATCTTTCTAGTTATCATTCTTGCTGTCAATGGGCCTTAACTGGAACTTGTCACAGCACTTGCATATTGATGCCCTTTTGTTGGTTTAAGTGCTTCTATTCTCCGCTTTTGTGAGTCACTTTGGATAAAACCCTTTGCTAAATTATTAAATGTAAAAATGTAAACGTAAACTGTAGCTTACCATTAAATGACAATGAAATATCCCTAAATAAGTTTTTCCCCTATTAGGCTGTAAAAGTCCCTTTTATTTTTTTATCGTCATGTATTCATTTTTTAAATTATTACCTGGTTTCCCAATATGTCACAGTTTTCTCCCTAGGTAAAATATTTACAATTGTTTTATTGTTCAGTTGAGACATTGACTCTCTAACCTGGTTCCCCAATATGTCACAGTTTTCTCCCTAGTTAAAATATTAACAATTGTTTTATTGTTCAGTTGAGACATTGACTCTAAGGCATGTGATCAGTGTTGTTTTATCAAAAAAACTGTTCAGTTCATATAATACAATACACACAATAACACTCCACACAGATGAGTCATTTTCTCGGTTTCATGCGCAATTAATCAGCGCAGATGATTAAAACCAACTGTGGGAGTTTAGCTATAATAATATGTCTTTGCTAAACCACTGTAAAGCGATGCTCCCACTACTTCTGTATCCTACTGACAAGTTTTAAAAGTCACGCAAACCACCATTCTTACCTCTGGTGACTTGCTTTTTGAGTGTAAAACTAAAGCCGACTTGTTTAGTTGACTAAGCAGAGCCTGTTTTGTTTGATTTATTTTAACAATATATTCTACTGCACTTACTCAGTGATATACACAGCTCGTGCAAGCCTGTGTGTGTTCCTTCGATATCACAAGCTAATTAAATCCATTAGTGATGCCCTGATGGTCAATGTTTTAAACTAAAGCATATTGCATCTGACTGTCTTCCCATCAGCCACCCAAGCCCAGCCGAGATGGTGGAGATGTTAGCAGAGCTGAGGAGGGTGGAGGAGAGACTTCAGCCCTTCATTCAGAGAGCTCACCTTATTCTAGAGGCGGCCACAACTGCAGACTACAACAACAACGTAAGAAGCCCACTGCTCAAATATTGTCCTCTCTTATTAACCTTAGCCAAAGACCATGTTGACTTGAATGTGAATGGAAATAAATTTGGTATTGAAGATCAGTTATTCAGCCAACAGAACATTAAACATTTTTTTTAACTATTTCAGTGGACAAATAAGTGCTGTAAAAATTAACACACGTGTTATATTAGATTGAAGATCTTTTATCAGTATTTTTATTTTTTATAAGTGCAAACTTCGAAAGCGATATTTTTTGCACATTTTATTATATTAGGTATCATGATACTGGATGAAAAATAAATCAGTACAAAAGGATTTTTGAAGGATCATGTGACACTGAGGACTGGAGTAATGATGTGGAAAATCCAGCTTTGATATCAGGAATAAATTTCATAATTTTAAAATGTATTATTTAAATACATTTATTATGTACATTTGTTATAATATTTCACAATATTAAAGTTTTTTTTTGTATTTTCAATCACATAAAAGCAGCCTTGGTGAGCACAAGAGACTTTGGTTAGGTTACACATCATTTTAAGGTGTCCTTGTTACAGTGTAATAGTGAATTATATTAATTAACTACATGTACTTACTATTAGGTTTAGTTGCGTGTAATTACGCATAATTTGTAGTTTTTACCATAGTAACTACTTGTAATGTATAACAAGGACACTAAAATAAAATGTTACTGAAAATAAACTTACAGACCCCAAACTTTTGTACGGTATAGTATATAGTGGAAATCATCTAAATAAGCAAAATTTTAACTAAATCAAAAAAAAAGAGGTATTTTTATAGATTTTAAAGGAATGTAATTAAATAGTATTTATTTGATAGTAGGTTGATTAATTGGGCTTTAAGCATGATCTCTTTGAATGGGTATACGAAGTTAAAAATTGGTATTTTTTTGTAAAACAGACCCAAGAGAGGGATGAGGACCAACGTATTCTTAATCTAGTGGGGGAGGCCCTCCGTTTCCTGGGAAACGCCCTGGTCGCCCTGAGTGACTTGAGGTGTAACCTCCTGAGCAACCCTCCTCGACACCTGCATGTTATCCGCCCCATGTCCCACTACACCTCCTCTGTGCTGACTCCAGCAGGCGTGCATCACCTCCCCATGCAGGTAAAGATGTGGTCGGTGAAACTCGTGCAGTGGGAAACGTGCATAAATGAAAGTGAAAGTTTTGTAGAGCACTTCATAAATGAGTACTGAGGTGTTTTTGGAAGACGCACATTTTCCAAAGTTTCAGGAAGTACTGAGACCACATGGTCTATAATCATAATTTGTTGAAGTAGGCCTAGTTAAAACAATTTAGTTCAAGTTAACTTTCAACTTGCCTGCAGTTGAATCTTGGAACAACTGTAAACATGTCAGCCAATGGCAGACCAGCAGCTGATGGTCAACCTCAGTCAACTGGCCAATCAGATCAGCAAGGCCAGGGACCAACCAGTCAGCCTGCCAGTCAGCCTGGTCCAGCCAATCAGCAGGGTGGACAGCCTGGGCCCAGAGTCATCCGGATCAGTCATCAAACCATGGAGCCTGTAGTGATGATGCAGATGAACATTGATGGTGGGTTTCATTTGTGTGTGTGTGTGTTGGATGGAGGGGTGTAAATGAATAAATTATATGAGTTTAATTTGAGTTGTTTAATAATTTTCAGACTCTGGAAACACCCCACAGGCTAATGGACAACCGAACGCTGCTGGCACTGGACAGCCTGGTTAGTCCTTAGATTATCTGAATTTCATCGTCTAAGAGACACTTTAACCATGAATAGTTTTTTGGTTTTTCATTGAATATAAAGTCCAAAAGAAACAGTATTTATTGGAAATAACCCCAAAAGTTTTTTTTTTCTGTCACTTTGGATCAATTAAGTGCATCCTTGCTGAATAAAAGGATTGATTTCTTAAAAAAAAAAAGAAAGAAAAGCAAACAACAAAAAAAACCTTATTGACCCCAAACTTTTGAATGGTTTATATACGAGGACAGTGTGATATGGACAATAAAACACCTATAATGATTTTTTTTTATCAATATTTCCTTACACACAGTTATCTGTACATTTTTTTGGAAGCTGTCTTTATCAGTTGGCACCATAGTTGGCACGTAATGTTATTTCTTCAGGCTTTTTTTTTTTTTACTTTGTAGTATATTTGTATATTCATTTCACACTAAGGGGGGCTGGTGAAAAATCTTGCTTTTTGCGGTTCCGAAAAATCTATATTTTTGACAATACCACATTGCACTTTTAGCTAGTTTATTATTTCACATGCCTTTTTAAAAGAAAAATCTAAATATTCAACCTGCCAAAGTGGCTTGGAGGAACTGCGTTACACGCCACTGCTGCAATCTACCCGCATTTAGCGAGTGTTAATGTTAAAACTGTATTTATGCATGTATTAAAACAAAATAATTATACAATTATAATTATATAATCATACAAAATTATTTGACCAACATGAGCATGTTTTATACAGTACACATATGTTTGCATGTTGCAGGTGCCCCCCCTACTGTTCAGATTCCTGGTCTACCTCCAGAATTCATGCAAGCCATTATGCATCAAGTGACTCAGCAAGCCATGGCCATGGCAAACGCTTCCTCTACTGGCCAGCAGGGGCAACAGACCGCGCCACCTACAGCAAACGTTGGCTCTGGCTCCACTCCGCCCCCCATGCCCCCTTACCCACCCCAGGCCAGAGTGGTGTTCACCAGACCCTCTTTTCCTCACAGAATGGCCAGCCCCACTTTCACCACAAGGGGGGCCACTATCAACCTCAGAGCAGCTGTTCCACCAATGATGGGCCAACAGCCAGGACAGGTGAATGAAACTCCCATGATATTTCTAGAATATAGCAGTGTAAATCCCACATAGGGCAGTTCAGGGAATATGTCGAGCTGTTTGGCAACATGAAGAATTGTAAGGTAATTTTCCATTGAGTCTTATAGAATAACCAATTAATAACGAACTTCAACTCTGAGTGGTTAAAACACTTACAGATTAAAATTAATATCAACTCTACAAGTATTTGTTATTAATATTATTATTAAATGGTTAAAATGTATTCTCCTATCATGTGGATGTGTGTTTCCCCTCAGGCTGGACAGTTCCCTCCCGCCGCTCTAAATCAGATGATCGGTGGACTGGTCGGGCAGCTTCTGACAGGCGCTACAGGGGAGATGGGTACATTTGCATAATACTTGCTCTGCTTTTTGTGAAGTCAGTCATAATAATGAGCTTCGGGTTCTTTAATAATGTGACGTGAATAAGCTTAACTGAGGTCACAGTCCTCTTGATATTCTATGAAGATTTTCTATTGCATAATATATCTTGTATCTTTGTATCTATAGCCAGCCAAACTACCGGATCCTCCTCACAAACATTCACCTTCTCCACATCCGCTTCCACAAGCACTCCATCCACTACCACGACCTCCACCAGTGGCTCTGGGTCCACACAGTCCAGTAGTACCAGTACCAGCACACACCAGCCTGGATCTGCACCGTCAACCCCTCAGGAAAACCCTTTAGGGGGAAACCTGGAGCAGTTGTTGGGGTCTCTACTGGGAGGAGCTGTTGCCGCAGGCGGCCAGGGCCCTTCTATAACAGTCACCATGCCTGGGGTCCCTACCTTCATCCAGGGTGTCACAGACTTCATGCAGGTTAATAGCCTTTTGTCTTTTTAGACTTTTCCCCCATCTTTATAGTTCTTAGTCATTGAAACCCTAACCCATTACAAGCAACAGTTCACCCAAAAAAATAACATTTCTTTCATCATTTACCATTTATAACTTTTTTTCATCAATGGAAACAAAGTAGGTTTATAAAATAACTGCTCATTATTGGAAGAAACTCACATTGCAATATTTAGTGTTTCTGTGATGCATATTGCGATGGCTAAAAATTTGTTAATATATTTGTTAATGTTAGATCTTGTTAGATCCGCTTGTGCTTTGGTCGATGAAGCAACAAAACGTCCTCACGTGGCGCAAGCCATTGAAATGAATAGGCTTCATAGTGCACTGCCGCACCCTGTTGCTAAAGCAAGTGAAAAAAAAACGAAAAAGTTTGCTTGGCCAAAAAGACTGTTAATCGCGAGATTTAAAAAAATCACGCCATTAAAATGGGTTTGCGTTAACGCGTTTAACTGACAGCACTAATATTTATTAATTACTATTTGGTAGTAATTAAACATTCTAGAATGATTTTTTTTTAAAAATGAAAATGAGTTTTTTTTTTAATGAATTTGTTTTTCAGTATTGTAAGTATTATGATTTTATTGTGATCATTAATAAATAAAAAATATTAATATCATTTGTAAAAATAGTGTAGCTCTTTAAAAATAAAAATATTTAATTACAATTTAATTTAATTTGGTTTGTGAACCCCTAAAATTGCCTAATCTAATTGCCAAATCAATTTTATTCTGAATATCGTGCAGCCCTACCTAAACTGACAAAGACTGAGCACATGAACCAGTTATCTTGGTCAATACATCTTGAAGGTCTTATTTGCTGTTTTTTGGTTCTCCACTCCTGTTCACTTTAATTGTGTTAAAAAGAGTGTCCAGAATGCTGTTGCTGCCATTTTTTCTCTGGTTTTTGTAATGCATGCTGGTGTGTATAAGACAGTTTTATGCATCTCTGTCATCAGGCTTCCCAAACACTTTTCTCTCAGCCTCCCGCGGGACAGCCTCCCACTACGACTCCCACGGCCCCACCAAATGCATCCACCGCTTCTGGGGCCGCCGCAGCCGGTGAAGGTCTGAACCCTGAGCTCTTCACTGGGATAGTGCAGGGTGTCCTGTCCACAATGATGGGCTCTCTGGGTACCCCTCAAAATGAAACCGAGAGCATCGCTCAGTTCATCCAGAGACTCTCCCAGACTAGTAACATCTTCACCCCTGGTACTGGAGATGCTGTGGGTAAGCTTCTTGGGTTTGATGCCTTTTCTTTTAGTTTATTTTCATTTTTTGCAGAGTAGTTATGTGTTAGTGTTAATTTTGTTAACGAAATCTATGACGAAAGATATTCTTTGATGAAGCTTTTTTCCGTGACTAAGATGAGACGATGACGCGACGACATTAAACCATGTGATGAACTGTAATAAATTCAAACATGGATCTCTTGACTATATTTGTGATTGTGGTTACTGAATAAATGGACTTACGCAACCTTGAAACGCAAATTTGAAATTATTAGATAACTTGGGATTTCACTGTTTTAATTTTTAAGCACAGTTTCTTGGTTTACCAGTCGGCCTATATGGTAAATAACCTATAAAACTCTGGAAACTAGATGAGGTAAAATAAACCATACGTATGAGTTGACATTCTCTTGATTTGTGCTTATAGGTGAAAGTGCAATTACATTTCTATTTATTATAATTGATTAATTTTGAGCAAAATAATCAGAATAATCAATTTAAAATGTGACGATAGTTCGAAAAGTTTTCATGGACCAAAACTAGACTCAAATGCTCAGACATTTAGTTGACTAAAACTTGACTAAACAAAAGACAGGACTATGATAAAAAATTAAAAAGTACATTTGAGAGGAAAAGTACATCTGACACAAACTGAGACTAAAAAAAATATCTGACAAAATTAACACTAGCATGTGTTTAGGTTTCTTCGGTGATCTTCTGGCTTTGGTGTGTCAGAACTTCTCTATGGTGGACATGGTGTTGTTGCTCCACGGGCAGCACCAGCCTCTGGGCCGTATCCAGCCCCAACTCGCCCAGTTTTTCATTGAGCATTTTCTGCAAGGCCGTGATCCCACTGAGGCCAACATCACCGTAAGTTGTCACTGTTTGGCAGTCAAACTGCCCTGGTTTAGTGATTCCCAACTGGTCTTAGAAATTCCCCCCAAACCTGCCCACACTCCAAAACCTAAAATGGGTTTGTTAAGGGAAACAACCAAAATGTTGTGTGGCAACAGTCCAAAATATTTACAATGGCTATCACACAAAAAACATAACAACTCCTTAGGAGTTTCTTAATGAAACCTCCTGAATATCCCATGGTTTTACTTTGACTAAAATGAAATGCAAACCAGGAAGCCACTGTAGTTTGCTTTGGAAACTGTTTGCCATTTTACCTTGTCTGTTTTTACAAGTTACTATGAACACAAACATACAGTCATGGAACGCGACAACTATTGTTAAGACATGCTGTGCAGACAAGATACTAATCAAAGACAGCAATCAGAGATTGTACACAAACCCTGTTTATCTTTAGGCATGCATGCAATTTGCCTCCATAGAATTTGAATGCCCATCCATCCATACATTTCCCAGTCAAATTTGCATTTTGAAATAGTTTGAATATTTGTATGGAGGTGAATGTAAATTTTTTTGCTATTATTTTTATATTAATGATAACCATAAATTCTTGAGAAATGTTTTAAAGTGCAATTACATTAAAGAGAATGCAGAAGTGAAAATGTATTTGCAGGCTAAAAAGTCACATGAATATCTGTGTGAAACTATCTCTGGTTGTTTGTGACCCAAACATGTCAACATTATTTGTAAACTGTCTCTGGAAATCCAGCGTCACATCTTTTCTCTTACGTTATACTCTTAATCGTCTGTAGTTGGTCAATTATATATTGTTTTTTATCCTCTCCTGTTCACTGTTTTTGCTTACTCTGGTCTGATTCTTCAATTTTCCCCCTCTTTCTGTTTGTCGTTCCATCTCTTCATATTTTTTATTTTCGCTTTCTGTTTTTATAGGCAGCTGCTGACGACTTAATCGCTGAACTTGAGGAATACATCACAGAAAGTTTTGTAAGAAACTCTGGATCCATTCTTGACACTTTAAAAACAAGCTATGAAAAGCATCTGTGACGATTCAACTACAGTGAAAATAAATTTCATACATCCATGAGTTTGTAACAAGCACAAATGTTGTTAAAGTCTGTTTACTTGCAAAAATCTAAATTCACACTACCGTTCAGAAAAGTTCAGTGACTGACTCGAGTATTGACAGTATGTTTTTATTTTTGTAAGAAATTAATACTTAAATTCAGCAAGGAATTCTGAAAATAAGATGTCATAGTTTCCACAAAAAATTGAGATGCACAATGATGATAAAATATGTTTTCTCAGAACCAAAACAGCTTATTAAAATGAATTCTGAGGAATCATGTGACTGAAGACTGGTAGTGTCGGTAAATACAAGTTGAATTTTAAACTATGCCTAGACTTCCATTGTGAGTGAATTACTGCAGTGTGTGCTTTTTGCAAACTTGGATGAAGTTTGTCTGTAGAAATTGAAAGCATAGAAAAATGTCCCTTATCTTAAAGGAAATGAAAACAAGTTTTGCATATTTGAGGTGTTTACTTCTTGTCCATCGCATCTAGTCAACCGTCGCAGTCCGTGATGGGGTGGATATTACCCAGACGAACCGGGCTTTTCTCAGACAGCAACTTTCAGGAATCGCCACCCACATTCTGCATTGCACCGGTATGTCTAAACGAGAGGCATCGTGTGATGAGATCAGACTCTATTTAGATTCATAAATGCATGCATACAATTTGAATACTGTGAATGTTTTTTATTTCCTCAGATCAAACATTTGGACCCCGACTCCTGCTGCTGTGTAACCGTGCTCTCTTCGAGTGTCTGGCCCTCAACCTCTATTGTCTTAATGGAGAACAAAGTGCTCTTACCACAGTCATCAACCACCGCATTGTTAGTACCCAAAACAAATAATATCTTGATTCTTACACCCCCTTCGTCTTGTTTAATGTTTAACTGTTCATCCTACGACCTTTACGTTGTATTATGAAAATTGCGGAGGAGACATTTCCATGTTGGCGGGGGCTTACGTTTATGCAGGAAACTTGATTTATTGGCTTTTACGTTTATGCAGGAAACTGTTTTGATAAAGGCGTTGGGGTTAGACATGCGAGATGGGGTTTTGCAGTCATGGAAGACCTGAAAATATTAGTTATTAAATTAGCTATTCAAATTAATTGCTTTAAATAGTTATTAAAATGTAATGAACATCTAATAAATAATGTAAATATAATAAAAAAAATTAATTTCATTAAAATATTTAATTGGTTAGAAATTGCTCTTTGTGAGTCAGCATATTCAATGGTCAAACTGTGTTTTGGTTGCATCCATACCAGAATCTATGTAAAGTGTTAGTTGTGGGTGCAGGTACTTTGAATGAATACCTAACGCGAGTTTGCATATCCTATCTCAGAGGACGATGTCAGCTGAAGTAAACCCTAGCCTGGTGAACTGGTTAACCAGCATGATGACAATGAGGCTGCAAGTGATACTGGAGCACATTCCCATCACAGAGGAACAGATCACCCATTACGTCATCCACACACAGGTTAGATTCCACACCTTCCCATGGCATATTTCCAGAACCAATGCTGCCAGCTGTGATGGTTGGTTAATGTGGTACTTGATGTCTGCACAAAGGAGTTTTTCAAAATTGAGCTGGTTTAAAAAAAAAGAAAAGAACTAACTATGATTAAAAATTGTCATTCAACTCATTATAAAATATATTTCATGCAGGTTAGTATGTGTCCTGCATATTCTATAAATATGGTGACCAGATCAAATTCGGGATGGGGGGAGGGTTGGTTCAAACCTGATCCAAACATATATTTTTATTCAAACAGTCTGTCATTAGTTTTTAGTCTGCCATGAAAAAAGTAAAATAAAAAAAATCATCCGTGATGGAAAAAAACATTCATCCAATTCGTCATTAAAAAGAAAACTAAATAATTGTGTAGATGATTTGCTTCAAGTGTAATTTTTTTTTGCACTCCTTTAATGCTGCGTTCACACCACGTTTAATGCAAAGTGAACACTTCGAATCCATTTGCGGGTCAAGAGCGAAATTGACGGGGGCGTAATTTGGGACAACAGCTTAGATTTTGGGACTGTCACGAATTTTTCGGGACTTCTGGTCACCCTGTCTATAAACTATTGTATTAGGCTTCTGGAGTAGGTAATGGAACCTTTGATGGTGTGATTGGTGGTTGTTGAGGAGACCCCCCCTTCCGTATGTAAAGCACTATATAAATGTAACGTTGTTGTTGTTATTATAAAAATACTTAAGTAGTTAATGTTCACATAGAGTTTACAAGTTGTAATGATGACACTACGAGGACGTGACGTACATTTCAGAATCTTGCAGTTGTGGTAATTCAGACATGGTGTGACTGTACCTGTTACATGGGTTTCAAATAGTGTTTCACGTTGACTTCATCAGAATTCATATGTACATCTCTCTACAGAATGAAGAATCAGTAGAGAGGCCCACACAGGATCCCGAGCCTCAGAACGTAGAGGTATATAAATATAGAAAGATGATTTGAAGCTGATGAACAGATTTAGGTTCAAATGCAACTCATTGGATGTTAAAGACTTAACATATACTGTACATACTTGGCCCTGGGTGTGGTCTTACCTGTGTCCTCTCCTATACATGGTTCAGATGGGGGACAGTCTCTCTCCAACACCTGCTACTACAGCGGAAGAAGCTCTGGCCTCCTCCCAGGAAGCTGGAGCAGTGGGAGTTCAAGCCAGGGAAAGTGAGGGAGCTGTTGGAGGAGAGGACGCAGGAAGAGATGGTGAAGCCTGGGCCGCCGCGTTGCCTCCTGTGAGATATTTCCACACATCTAGTGTCTTAAATTGAAATCAATCACATTTCAACAACAGAATACCTCTCCCTTGATATCGTTTACCCTATCATTTGATCAAAACATTTATGTAGTTTTCCATTTTGTTGTGGGTATTAAATGAGCACCTTTGATCGTGAGCTCATTGCTTCAAGGCGTCTGACAGCATCTTTGTGTACCACTTCTTGTTAGCATCTTAATCACGAAACCTGTGAGATTGAATCTTGTTGTGAGTGTGGGCTTGATGAGCTGTATTGTTTGCAGGAGTGGGTTCCCATTATCAGACAAGATCAGATCAGTCAGAGGAAGATTAAGGCCCAGCCTCCTCTCTCTGACGCATATCTATATGGAATGCCAGCAAAGCGCAGAAAGGTAAACATCGTTTCATGCAGTTACATGTAAATAATGAGATCGTATGTTTTAGTTTTCTATTTATTTAGACTGGTTTGCCAGGATATTTACCGTAATAGTTCACCTTTGCCCTTTCTGAAGCATCACAATAAACAAATGTTTTTTTATTGTTTCTCTCCTAGATGGTAAAGAGTGATGGTCCCAAACTGTCACTCTCTGAGGCAGTGAGTCAAGCCGCCAAATCAGCTGGCGTAACGCCCATCACAGCTCCCGACGCTCTACAGGTGGATTTAGATAAACCAGAGCTTCAGGAAGCATACAGTGAACAGGTATTTTGTGTTGAAAAAAATTTTTCCTTTAGACCCCTTTTCAATTGGTCAACATGGTGACGTGTTTTTGTGGGCGGAGCTTAGATGGAGGCAGAACGATCCCTCTGGCCGCTTCACTAACGCTAGTTAGCAAGTATTGTTAGCTTGTTTTTTAACAATGACTGAAGAAAATCTGATATTATCTTAATGTGTAAGGTCACTCAGTGTCCAGGATCGCGATTGTTATTTCCAAAAGTTATTTTTAACGGATGGAACCAGATTGGCCGACCTGTAGCCGCCTACACGCTCACTCAATGCATGGACGATCTGACAGGATTAACGTTACGTTACCTCGGTTGAGTGGCCTGACTTCTACACCTACCTTATAGAGAAACTGATCGTAAAGAGAAACTGAGGGCATATAAATCTTTAGATGCCTATATGGTCCTGCACAAGACTTGTGTGTACAATCCGCAGTTCTGCTGAGACGACGACAATGTAAAGAGTGACATTACGGTGCGATTTTAATCATGTGAATATTTTCTAGAAATTAAAGTTCCAGATTCAGCATATTCATTGTTTTATCAATTCTTGCACCAAACAACACAACAAGATGACATTTAATAATAGTAACAATAATTTAAGCTCCTTTTTATGTAGCCTGAATTTGTGCGGGTTTGTATTGGCCGCCTCCAGTTTTCACTTTGTTTTGCCTCCAGCTAGCGTCGTGACGGAACTGTGACGTCAGCGCAAAAAAAGAGATCTATTGTAGCAAATTGGCTCAAATTAGCTCAAAAGGGAAATATGAATAATTCATTATAACTTGTTGCAATTAATGTATAAATATTTGGATCAGTTAGTCATATTAACTTGATGTAGCTAAATTAATATTACAATTAATTAATCTGTTCGTCCAGAGAACATTCAGTATTGATTATTCTAAGAAAGGTTATTTTTCAGGGACACAGAAAAATAATTATTTGTTAGCATGTACAGCACAAGATCAGGAATCGTTCAAGTGACATTAATCTGCAGGCAAGATCATAATCAGGGTTTTATACTGTATATTTTTTATGCTTGTATGCATTAAATTAGGAATGCACAGTTGGACATCATCTATAACTGAAATACTGGTTCCCTTTGGAAAAAAAAAACGTTTTTATAAAAATACAGTTTTTTTTTTTTATAATACCAATGACTATCGAAGCTTACATTTGCCATTACTCCAGTCTTCAGCGTCACATGATCCGTCAGAAATCACCCTAAAATACTGAATTAGTACTCAAGAAACTTAAACTTAAGATAATCTCTTCTTTTTATCAGCTGAAAGACGACATCAAGAAACGAGTAAAGGAGGACCCAGATTACAATTCCAGAAGGTTTCCTAACACGCATCAAGTCTTTTCTCCGGACTCATAACTTTTGTACCTTCCAGCTTACTTGTGTTCACCTCATCCTAGTTCCTTACTTGGGGTGTATGTTTTATTTGCACAGTTATGTGTTGTCAGATGACTTCACTCCTGTTTCTATCTATACCTTTTTATTGTATGTGTTGGTCATGCGTGCAGTCTACGCACACTGAACATCTGCGAAGTGTCTCTTCTGTCGGTGCAGGCACACACGTGTGTGTGTGTGTGTGTGTGTAAAGAGCCTGCCTGCGTGATATATCAGAACTGTTGTTTTTATGATTTGGTCCAACGAATAACTGTGTTGTAACTGAATCCAGAGGAAATACATGATAACAGAAGGACAGAAACGAACATGTAGAAAGCTACATTCTTGCAATGATGCTCTTGTTTAAAGCTTTGTTGATTGTATAGCATTATGCCTTGCCTTTTCAGTTCTGACTCTGCTATGGCTTTATCTATGGTACACTGCAAAAAACAATTAAGAACTATGTAATTGGGAACCATGAATGTAAAATGCTTGATTAAACAATTTTGCACCAGTTTAGTGCATATTATGCGTTATATGGTCTTTTGTGAGTAAAATCACATGCATTTTTTTCCAAGTTAATTCAATTTTAATTCATTTAAAGTTTAACTTTATGACCATACAATTAAAATATACTGAAACAAGGCAGTTCTTTAGAATGTTTGGATAATCTTCAAAACTTCAAAACGAAAAACCTCATTAACCTTTCCCTCCATTAAAAGCCCAGGTAGTCAAAAACTTAAAGTCTGCGTGAAACGGAAGTTAAGATTGACATTTTTTCCTTGTCGTGACGTATATCCGAGTGAAACGGCTTCTGAAATTAGAAAAAAAATGTTGGGCAGGGCTTGATTTGGTCCTTCGGGAATTGATTGGATCGTTGGAGGTTGGGCGTTGCATACAAAATGGAGGCAGATTTGAATGCAAGTTTTCTAGAAGTGAAATAAATTAAGTGAAACAGTAAAAAAGAAATATAGGTTTAAATTTATGAAAATTTACAAATTTGATATATATAGTTTCAAAACCTGGTGGACTCTAAAACTGCAAACTCTGGGTGTAGTGTATATCTCCAAAAATGAGCTTTCAGTAAGATTTGCTTTGGGCACTGTACCACACTTTTTCACTAGATGACAACCAGACTCCATTACTGCCCATATAAGGGCGCCTCCATTTCCATAATGTGGTTTGAGTGATCTGAACCTGTATTTCCACAAGTTTCACTCAATTTATGAAGTAGGCAACCTATTCAGAAGTAGTGTGGGAAGTTTGGCATATTTTGATATGAATTCAACCTATAATAAACACATAAAAAAGAACACGTATATGCGTTATAGCTTGGTGCCACCTCACAAATGGCGAATCTATTATATTTTTTTAAAAAACATTTTCAGACCTTTAAAAAAAAATTGAATGGATGTTATTTTTTCAACTCTTGGCATGAAAACAAAGAGGTTTCTATACCATTCTTTCATGATTTTCATGTTCATCCCTTTTTCAAAATAAAGGTCTGAACAAGCCTTATGTAGTATGAAAACAAAAAAAGTCGCCAAATATGAAAGCTACAGTTTGTAAGCTTTCAAATGATATTTAGTTTGTCAATATTAGTTTTGGTTTCGTATAGGGTATTAATGTTTTAAATATGTAAATGCTATGGGCCCTCCGGTGACTTAATCCTAGTCTTCTGAACAAGAAGAATAAATAATGATAGACACATACTGTACATAGGACATATTTGGTTTACATGGAAACTCAAACACTAATGTGTGTATCATTGTTTTAAATGGGAATGGACTCTCAATTCACATGTCAAATGGAATATGAATGGTTTCTATGAAATCATATACTCTCAGAATGGAGATAAGCTGTCTTGCTAGGTATATTTACACAACATCTGAAAAAAATTTTTTTGAAAGAGCAGACACAACATACCAATTACGCTTGTCACCTGGTCACTCCCACGGCTGATGCTATCTGTAGATCCAGGTGTAGCCTATAGAAGTCAGTGAACTTGCCTGGCAGGTACATGTCAGCAGTCGAGCCACTGGTAATGGGGGATTTACATTGATCTAGTTTGTCTGTAGTCTTAAAGGGAGGCCTTCACTAATGTGCGTCTGTCCTTCAGGCTTCTAGGACCTGGAGTCTAGGAGAAAATCCAGGTAGGTACATTTTTGTATTGCTTTGTTCGGAAGCCTTCCATGCCATTGTAAAGGAACAAGCTGACTGGCCATTTGCATTCAACTCTTGGCATACTTTGACTTACAAATTCTCGTAAATATAAGACAAAGATTCTAACAAAATTCCTTCCGATTTGATCTCTCATTACGACCAAAATCAAAAGTATTTAAGGCCGTCTAATTCGTTCCAATAGAGGATTTTTTATTAAATGAAATACATTTTATTTTATCATGTATTAACTCATTATTTCATCTGACTCCATAAATGAAAAGGTTTTTCCAATAATAAATGTGCATCATTAAATCAATGAGAACGTTTGACTATTCCTTTTGAAAATAAAGTCAAAGTCTGTTAGACAAAATAAGTACAATTTGATCATCATAATCAAAAGGTTTTTACTTTTTAATTCAGCTAAGATTCTGTCTTGAGATTCACTAAAATAATATTTTGTAAGGTGTAGGCCTACTGTATGTTTATGTCAACAAAGAATGCAGTTCTTCAGGCTCTGTAAAACAATTCTGCAAAATTACAAAATGTTCTGTTGCATTGTTTAGGTACACCAACCCATTCATCTATGAAACTACTCCATAGAGACCATTCAGGATGACTGACATTGTAGACGAGCAGCAAATATTAAGGATTCTTTCATGGAACGTAAACGGTTTCCACCGCAAACGAAATGAGGTTCTTCGTAATTTAAGCCTTCTAAATGCTGATGTAGTCTTCCTCCAAGAAACTCATGTGGGTCCAGACAGAATCTACTCAACTGGGAGCATCAAAATCCAACATTTGGAAAGTGATTACAACATGGCGGCATTTACCGTATTTAAAGGAAGTTCCCGAGGGGTGGCCGTACTGTTCAAAAAGAACCTCGGATGTGGTGGTTTCAATGTCAGTGGCGACGCAAAGGGAAGATTCATAATTGTCTCGTGTCAAATTTGGGGGCGTGATTTTGTATTTGTCAATGTGTATAACTCAACTGATGAAAAAATTCGGTTTACGGAGTTCACACAAATTGCGACCCACATCCCGTCGTCGGCGTTCCTGGTGGTCGGCGGGGATTTCAACACAGTCATGGACGCCGAACTTGATAAAACGTCAAATTTACGAAACCGAAGTCACCGAAAGTCTTTCGATGCTCTCCAAAATTTTTTGGATACCTTAAACTTAGTGGATGTTTGGCGGTGTCTTTACCCGGAGGTAAAAAGCTTTACGTATTTTGATGGGAAAGGTCAGTCGAGACTAGACTACTACTTTTTGCAAAGTCACAATTTATCAAGCGTAACTGCTTGTAACATTCACGAGAGACCAATGTACTCGGACAAAGAAGAGTACATTTCTGATCACGCCCCATTGTCCATTCAAATTCAGATACGTGGACCAAAATGGCAGTTTGATTCTTGTCTTCTTGAAGATGAAGCATGTATGGAACAACTCTCAAGCACAATAAAGAAAATTTCACAAATAAATACCAGAAAGAAAGAATCCCTGTGGCCAGGAGTGAAGGTCAGGCTTGTATGTGAGGCAATAGTTTTGCAAAGACGCCTAAAAACGTCAAGATGTTCGACTGAATATCCTCAAGAGGTTGACGTGGACCAAGGAGGTAGACGGCTTTTTCCCCTCTCATTTAAAAATGTAAAATTAATTCATTTTTTTTAACATGTATATATATTTTTTTAGGGTGTCCAAGTACAGACTCATCCATTGAGGTTCTTCAAACACAGAATACTTCATCCAAGAGTCTTCTGAACTTCTTGAATCATTTACACCAAACTGAGAGATTTGATGACGTAAAATCCATCCTGATTACCGCTCTAGACGAACCAGTTTCGAGAAAAGAGATTCTGGTTGCTATACTGTCCCTGCCTCAGTCTGAAAGTCTAGCAGCAGATGGGCTTACGGTACATTTCTATAAGCATTATGCTTGTAAGATTACTGACCTCTTACAAGCATTTTTCAATCAAATCTTCAATCTAAAGCCAATTGAATCGCTCAGGCATGACAAATACGATCACACCTACAGCTATGATATTCAATATCACCATCATAGTCCAATGACAATGCGTAATGTGGATTATAAAATCCTGGCTTTGATTCTGGCAGCGAGGTTAAATGACGTTATTAAACACATTTTAAATCCAGGCCAAAGCAAACAACACAGTTGTGTTCAGCACTGCATCAGTGCTCAAATCCCAGCGCTAATTATTTCATTAAAATTAGATCCAGGTGCACTGAAGTGGCCGTATCTGTTTAATAGCTTAAAGTCCGTGAATCTACCTGACGGATTTCGATCCGTGTTGAAGCTGTTGTTGATGACGGATCACAGATCTCAAGGTCTACGGGTGGGATGTCCACTGACTCCTTTACTAGTAAGCATCTGCCTTCTTCCTCTGATCTACTCCATTAACTGCGAGAACAGGAAATTGGGACCTAAAGTCCAAGGAGAGACCCTAAAGTCAGTCGTTGACAGAGACACGGCTCTAGTGATTCTTTCTGATTGTAAAGAGGGGTTGGATAGTTTTAAAAAGATGCTCAACGATTTTATTGAGACGTCAGGCTTTGTCATAGATGAACAATACTCTGAAGTTTTCATAGCAGGTCCTTCAGGCTTCAGTTTAAGCAAAGACAAACTTATGTTTTTTAAGAGAACGGGCGATGGATTTTGTGGTGAAGAAATGGTTGTTGAACCGTCATAAAAATGGTGTGTGGGGGTGCGCGTGCTCGCTCGCTCTAGATTCAGGGAGAATTAAACTAATTGGCGCCATTACTACTCCATCAATAGTGGATCAACAGATATAGAGAGGCTAAGTCCCTCCCCTTCCGGTCGACCACCATGGGACCTTATTTCGTAAAAATGTTGTATGGTACTCAATGGCGCGGGACAACAAATATTTTGATCTCGTTTGAATTGTGCCCTGAATTGCACATATGATGTTTGTCAATTTAAAAGATACATTTTAAAGTAAAGAAAGTTGCAGTTTGATGTAAAACCGTTGAGGTATAAGACTGTGAAAATACGTAATTACAAAGACTACAAACCCCAAAGGCACACATTTTCCCTAAAGCTAACTTTACTGAAGCTAACGTCTGTCATTGTTTCTATAGTCTTACGTTATAATCGTAACGTTACGCCGTCATGCCTGAGTGTTTTGTACCAGACTGCACACACAAGAGCAACGGATCTCGCTCATTGTTTCGCTTCCCGGGAGTTGTAGTTCATTGAGCGATTTTCACATAAAACTAAATGTTACTCTTCTCTTTTATGACAAACTGCGACATTTTTGACTTTCAGAATTATCTTTTAAATGGACAAACATCATATCTGTAATTCAGGGCACAGTTCAGATGGAATAAAAAGATAAGTTGTCTCTCGCCATTGACTACCACACATATTTTTTTCCGAAATAAGGTCCCATGAGCCGGAAGCGGAGGGGCGGGGCTTGGAAAATCTCTTCTTCCGGGCATTTGACCGACCAGGTTCACACTCAGCGTGAGGAATCGGGGGTGTGAGCGTGTGAAACCAATCAGTGTCTCACGGCCAATGGCAGCTATGTAAATATACGGTTATGCACTATTTTTTACAGTTTATGGTTATGCACAACAAACATCGCTTCAGTTCAGTTCAGGTCTTTTGTATGCGCTTTGTTAAAAATAGATGCCTTAAAAGGAGCAAGCAAAGATGATAAAGTTTTTTTTTGTTTTTCTTCATACGAATATTTTGATATAAATTAAACAGCAACAATAAAAATGGGCTTAAGGTTAACCTCTAATTTTAATATTTCAGATGCAGCCACTGAGAGACAAACATTATTGGTGTCTCTTGGGACAAAACAATAACAGTGATGTATTTTAAGATGTATCAGTGCAAATTGACTTCAGTTAACACAGCTCAAACATGCATTTTAGTCTGGGACTAGGCTTAAGCCTTGTCTGTGAAACCGGGGACTATAGTATGCTTTAAAATTTAAGGATTAGTATGGTCAACTAACATGCCTTGTTAGCTGAATGCTACCTTGGTTAAAGACTGTTCCTGTTTTTTAAATTATGTTTTGTTAGTCAAGCGAAATCATATCATGTTCATTGTGGTTTCACTATTCAAATGGTAACCGAGAGCCTAAATAATCTTAATGACTAATGTCATCTTTATGGCATTCAGATAGGAATGTAAAATTGAATTTAGTGAAATTAAATTATTATTTATGTTTGAAAATCATATGCACCCTTGATTTAAAATAAAAGACCTGTTTACACAATCATAGCCTATATTTTTAGTCTTTTGACTTTTGCTTTATCCTAAACGATTATTAGGAACACCTGTTCAATTTCTCATTAATACAATTATCTAATCAACCAATCACATAACAGTTGCTTCAATGCATTTAGGGATGTGGTCCTGGTCAAGACAATGTCCTGAACTCCAAACTGAATGTCAGGATGGGAAAGAAAGGTGATTTAAGCAATTTTGAGTGTGGCATGGTTGTTATTGCCAGACGGGCCGGTCTGAGTATTTCAGAATCTGCTCAGTTACTGGGATTTTCACGCACAACCATTTCTAGGGTTTACAAAGAATGGTGTGAAAAGGGAAAACATCCAGTATGCGGCAGTCCTGTGGGCGAAAATGTCTTGTTGATGCTAGAGGTCAGAGGAGAATGGGCCGACTGATTCAAACTGATAGAAGAGCAACTTTGACTGAAATAACCACTCGTTACAACCGAAGTATGAAGCAAAGCATTTGTGAAGCCACAACACGCACAACCTTGAGGCGGATGGGCTACAACAGCAGAAGACCCCACCGGCTACCACTCATCTCCACTACAAATAGGAAAAAGAGGGTACAATTTGCAAGAGCTCACCAAAATTGGACAGTTGAAGACTGGGAAATGTTGCCTGCTCTGATGAGTCTCGATTTCTGTTGAGACATTCAGATGGTAGAGTCAGAATTTGGCGTAAACAGATTGAGAACATGGACCCATCATGCCTTGATCCTATAAAACTTAAACTTTGTTATTTATTTTTGAAATGACCGATCGTTTCGCTAGATAAGACACTTATTCATCGTCTTGAATTGTTTAAAGCCCTTTGAAGCTGCACTGAAACCGTTTGGCACCCACTGAAGTCCATTATATGGAGAAAATCCTGGAATGTTTTCATCAAAAACCTTAATTTCTTTTCGACTGAAGAAATAAAGACATGGACATCTTGGATGAAATGTGGGTGAGTAAATTATCAGCAAAAGTTTTTTTTAATAGTGAACTACTCCTTTAACACCAATCCTTCTCCTACCAGCACCCAGCCAAGATCACTGCACATCCACCCTGTTTTTAGGTCAGATACTTGTTAATTGGCTTCTGGTATTTAAAGGTGCTTTAGTCTAGAATAAATCATTGTTGTGTGAATGATAAACGAATTGATATAATACTCCTGCATCAAAGAGCCACCAAATGTAAATTAATACAAACGAATCAGAAGTCTTATAACTGAGTTAAATGACTCGAGTCAATGGGGTGAATCAAAATCCCCTCTGACTCGAATCTCAAGGCTGTTCTGCGACAGGCAGTAGTTTGACAATCAAATTAATCATCTCAGTCAAGCCCAGATTTGTTGTGCAGAGACTTTTGGTCTCTCGATTCCCAATGCCTCACCTTTTTTGCCATTCTTTGTTCTTTATAAAGTTATATACATGAATATATCATTTTGTAAATAGTAGCCTATACGTATACAATTTTAAAGCTCTGCATTCATAGATTACAAATGAATTTAATTCACTCGTTGTAGATAAAACTGCAAATTATAAATATTTATAAACATCCTAATTAAAAAAATTGTGTTAGGTGTTAAGATGTCTTTATTTATTCATCAAATGTGCAAATAATATAGCTGAAGAAAACATTTACACCATTCATTCAGCAAGTTGGTGCAAACATGTTGCTTGTTTGTTTTACATTTAATAAATTCTATGTATTTTACATGCTTAAAAAAGACCTCAAGAACAGGCTAAAATGGAATTGAGAAGTTATGTTGTATCCAGAAATCCAGATACAAAAAAATAAAACACAAAAACACGGTAAAAAAAAATATTGTTGGTTTAACTTAAATGAAGTAACCTTTAAGTTCATTGAAATGGAAAAATTGAGTTAATACAATGTAGAAGATTGATTTAATCATCAGAAACTCAAAATATTATGTTATCTGAACCACATGAATTATTTAAGTTGATTTGACAAAAGAAAAAATGTTGTGATTACAAATCATGAACATATTTTTTTTTACAGTGTAGTCTCTCAGGTAAATAAAAATACAAAGAATTGAATCACACGTCAATCCTCAGGCAGGTGCTTTAATGTGATGCAACTGACTGTAAATGTGAATATGTGTGGTATTATGTCCCTGCAGCCAGCAGAGGACAGCACTAGCACATCTCAATCAATTACACTTGTGCAAAACCAGCTGGACAACCTCTGGAAGTGCCACACCATTGGCTAATACGTGGAATACAAACAGATGATGTACAAGTTCCTGGTCATATCCTGATCAGAATGATGTGGAAATTGGTTGGGTGTTTTTTGAGTTTTAATGTGCAAGCTTATTACTGAACGTCTGGAGAGCAAATGAGCTTAATGCAATGACATTATTGTTTGACGTATAAAGCAGCAAATGTTTGTCCTTTGATATAGAATCTGAATGAAAGATTTATTTTCATGTCATTAATTTTCCATTCCAGTCCAACTCTTTATCTTTGTAAGAGTTGTTTAATTGGGATCAAAGTTCAATCCCAGTTAACCTACTTGCATAATCAGTGATAATAAATATTTTAAAGATCATAATGGCTATTTCACAAATAAATATTTTTAAAAGTTAACTAAACATTTAATTTGTTATTATATCCCATAAATAAAGTAATTGGGGTAGTTATTGAGAGGAACAACACATCATAAATGAACAAGGTTGTTAAGATTCATAAAAGACTAAATGTCCATTCAAGAACTAACATTAAAAGTGTCCCACCATTGTGCTCTATATGAAAGCACCAGGATTTTGCCGGTAATCTTTCAGGTTCCTGTATCTATATGCGAGCCAGACGCCCAGAATCTGAAACCGTAAAGAAAATAACAAACTTAACAAAAATAAGAAACAAGCACCAAAAATACATGGACTACGCAGTTAATAGCGTCATTCAATATTTCCAAGTCTCATCTTCCGTGTTTTCCAAACCAAAGGATGTCCAATGTTTGCTCACCTCTGTAAAACTGAAAAAAAGGCTGATTCCTCCAACAAAATGCAGAGCGTCGTCAGCATAGGCCTGGATTATTTCTGAACACGGTTTGCATTTTTGTTCATTGAAACAGGCCTGAAGTCAGAGAAAACAGAAATTGAGCATAAAATAATCTTTACAACCACAATAAAAACTGCATATTAGTTAAGCGCATATAAACAATATGATCTCATACTCAGCTGATCTTCACATCAGACCATATGTTATGTTCAAGCAGTTAAAGAGTCTGTCAGCTGTCATTGTAGAAGTATTGCCTACACTTAATTATGAGCTTACAACAAAAATGGAAGCTTTAATAGATTAACCTTACATCTTGATGTACAAAAATACAAACACTTTAAAGAGATACTCCAATTGTTTGGAAATAGGCTCATTGTTGGGTTTTACTGTTTTTGGGTTTGGGGTTTTACCAGAAACCAGACAGTTTATGGTCCCATTGACTTCCATAGTAGGAAAAAAATATATACTATGGAAGTCAATGGGACCAGAAACTGTCTGTTTACTGATATTCTTCTAAATATAAAAATGGTAAAACTCAACCTTTTTAACTCGGAGGGAGTTGTAAAATGAGCCTATTACAAAAAAAAGAGTGGAGTATCCCTTTAAAACTACATATTTACCAAAGCTTTCTGTATAAACCGCATGACTTCACATTCACAGACTATTTGTTCAAGAAGTTTCTAGAAGCATGCGGTTTTTTTCCCCCACATTAAGTTCAACTTGAAGACACTTCATAATACATTAAGTCTTGTATAAATCAGAATAATAGTTCTTACAGCATCACAAAATTCATTGTAGTTAACTTGTAGAAAGTCACAGCAATCCAATGATCTTTCCAAATCCTTCTGCATTGATTCAGACTTATTCCATCCTATCTCCAGGAGAAGGTTCTGAGGGAGGACAAAACGTTTATTTGAAACCAACTTGAGGAATGAGGAAACTGGTATCACCATGTCAAAGTATTAATTCAGTCTACAATTACCTGTTGTTCTTTACTAATAGCTAAGCAGGCACATGATACTGAAAACTGCAAGACGAAAACCAGAAAGAGAATGAGCATGTACTAAAGAACAGTTAAGGTTGTTTCTCCATCATTTATGGGACATTTAAAAAGCTGTTGACTAAAAAAGGAAACCATTACAAACTGGTAGGCCAGCAAAATTGGTAAATGTGAGTTTAGGGCCCAAAGTAAAACACAAACTGAGACTGATGTGTTGAACAGAGGCAAACCTCATTTAGACATAGGAGAATTTCTTGAATCAGTATATTGGAAGGATACAAAGAACAAGAGGACTTGATGATGCTTCACAGCCCCACACAATCCCACAATAGCCACGACGAAGAGAAAAAACCCAACTGCGATGACAGCAGCCATCACGCTGAAACTAGACACTAGTCCAAACCATTTGCCCCATGCTGCAACACCGATCATTAGAAGACTGACCATCTGAAAACAGAAAATATATCCGAAATTGTTCAGAAAAGGCAGTGCAATACTAAACATGAATATCAGGATGACAATTCACATAAACATTCATTTTACAATTTACAGACACATTTAATGTACATGTACAATGTGTCATAGAAAAGGATAAAAGGAAAATGTAAAATAGACTTTAAAATAAATACTAAAGTTATTGTTAATAAGAAGTCTTATAGGACTAACTACTGCTTGACTTACCACATAAATAAGGTTCAAAATACAAAGAGAAGTTTTTGAGCAAACAAAACCACCACAAGCCATGATGAAATATCTAGTGTACACCTGTCCCGCAAATGTGACTCTAGTCTACTCCAACTTGAGGCAAGATGACTGTACTAGTGGTTGTCCAGCATGTGCTCAGGTAGACACGTTTCACGCCATTGGTCCGTTCTTTATCTTTATGCAAATTAGCAAAGTCCCACTTGCACTGTTAACCCAATGCGAAGTGCCTTAGTCCGACTCGTTTTGAAGTATAATCCCACCCACGATATAGATATATCTGCAAACTTGCAAAGAGACTGTTTTAATATTAAGACCCAGTTGTTCACTCAAGAACCAGTCGAAACGACTCGACAGTTCGGTCCGACTTAATTCTGATTATTCGCTAAAAGCATTTGCCCTGGTGTTGTTGAGTCTAATTACCCTCTTTTATATTTTTAAATATAGAAAATTATAGGCATGCATTTTTCCAGTATGTTATTATATTTTTATGTTGCTTATTTCATATGAACAATTCATCATTTTCAGTCACTTTAAAGGGTCACACAGGTGGTGTGATTTTTTTAAAAAAAACATATCTTCAATTAATATAATTTTAATGTATGATACACCTAGTTCTAGTAAAATGCATATGTTTGAGACATAATTACCCTAATATCGCTCTCTTATTTTGAAAATTAAAATATAAAGTTCTAGGATCGAAACACCACCAATAAGATTGGGGGCGAATGTACACACATTGCTAAACATATACAAATTACAAATGGCATTTCATTACTACTCCCATACCAAGTAAAATCAGTAAAATGTTGTATTGTATATTTGTATATATGTTTTTTTTTTTTAAACTATCCTAAAAACACAACCGAAGACGACACTTATTACGCCCCCTGCTTCTTTGTTGCAGTTGGTTCAGTCCGTTTGCAGACAGCAACCCGTTAACCCGTCAGTGCCAGTCAGTGGATCAATCACATTAGAACCGAGCTTTTATACCAGTCACAGTTAACTTATATTTTGCTTATTAAGACCAAAGGCGTCATTTTGACTATAATAATGTCTGCACCAAAGAAAGGAGACCTGACCGACACAGAGAAAGAGCTACTTCTGGTTATTGCTGCAGGTAATGATAGCATGATGCTAACATGCTAACTGCAGATTAACACAGTTACCTGTTCGGAAAATTATAATATCGTTTACAAAAATCTGCAAGCAATGGCTGCATACGTAATGCTTTCTCTCTGTGCTTTTAAATTAAAATTGATCTTTGATGTGTTACATTTGAAAAACGTGTTTGTATTCAGTTAAACTAACGTTATAGATTATAATATTCAAAATAACGTTACAGTTTACGATTAAATACGTATCTGTATCACTTTTATTATTATTATTTTTTAATTATTTAAGCATCATTATTGTATAATTTAGACTTATGTTTTTCTCAATGGAAATATATCATGATGATCATTGACCATAACATTTACAGTGTGGCTCTTATCTATAATTGTTGATGTATTAATAGTGATTTATGTATAAATAATTCTCTATGTCGGTCACTGTCTGATCATCACTGTGGTTGACCATTTGTAGGTAATGTGCAAGAAGCCTCCAGACTGCTTGGATCCAAAGATGTCAGGGTAAACTGTCTGGATGAGGTAATGAAGTGTTGTTATGCATTATATTCATTCTAATAACATTTAAAACATTGTTTTATTATCCTCTATGTTAGTGGCAGTTCTTTGTCAGTACTTTAAACAGTACTTATGACAGTGTAGAGAGACTCTGTTTTGGACATCTGTCCAAATCAGACGTTACTGACACTTGAGGGCTTTCAAAGCAGCTGCCTGAAAATGGTTGTTTGGCCCATCTTTTATTAGCCTGTGTGTCTCTCTGTTGAAAACAAACAAACAAAAAAGAAAGATTATTGAGCCAATTACTTGTTGGATGGATAGCGATTATTGCACTGACAGCTTATTGTTTTGAGTGTTTTTGGGAGTTCTCAGGGTTTCTCTCTACACACCATAATCAAATATATGTGAACATGCTCTATGTGGTTAATGCTTTTTCGATTTTTTTTTTTCCTCATTTCTTCATCAGTATGGCATGACTCCTCTCATGCACGCTGCATATAAGGGCAAGGCAGACATGTGCAAACTGCTGCTACAGCACGGAGCTGACGTCAACTGCAACGAACATGAACACGGATACACCGCACTCATGTTTGCGGGACTCTCAGGTCTGAAATATATATCCTGAAATATATTTTATGCCAGTAATACAGTATGACAATACAGTATGTCATATCCATTGTATTGAACAGGAAAGACAGATATCACCTGGATGATGTTGGATGCTGGAGCCGAGACGGATGCGGTGAACTCAGTCGGCAGAACAGCAGCACAAATGGCTGCTTTTGTAGGTATGCCAAAATATGGCATTATGGGGAAAACAGTGTACTTTAATCTGTATGATTATGCCAAAGTTGGTAAGATTTCAATGTTTTTGAAAGAAGTCTCTCAGCAAAGCTGCGTTTATTTGATAAAAAATACTGTAATATAGCAATATTGTAAAATATTACAATTTTAAATAATTTTAAAATGTACATCAGTCACATGATCCTTCAGAAATCATTCTAATATGATGACTTGCTGCTTAGGATGCATTTATTATTATCAATGTAACTTGAAATCATTTGTGCTGCCTTGTATCTCCTTATTGAAAATGAATATTTATTAAATGATTACTGGCCCCAAATGTTTTAATGATATTTTGCCATATTCTGAGAGAATGTTCTTTTTTGTTTCCAAATGTGAAGATTAAATGAGATTACATCTTTTTCAGGGCAGCACGACTGTGTGACAGTTATCAATAACTTCTTCTCCCGTGCGAGGTTGGATTACTACACAAAACCACAGGGGCTGGAAAAGGAACCAAAACTCCCTTCTAAACTCGCTGGACCGCTACACAAAATTATCATGAGTACCAACCTCAACCCAGTGAAGGTAGTTTTTTTTTGTCTGATCCACGTTCTTGTGACATAGTTCTGCTCCGCCTCAGGCGAGCCAAGTTTGAATCCCAGTTTATGGGCCTTTTCTCCCCTTCTCTCCTCTCCTGTTGTTTTTTGTCTGTCTCTCTACTGTCCTATCAAAATAAAGGCAGAAAAGCTCTAAAAAAGCTCAAAAAGCTACATTTTTAAGCTCGCATGCTAAACCTGATAATTATGATGGTGATTTGATCTTTTTTTTTTAATGATCAAACCAGTGACTATAGCCAAAACGTAATTGGTTCTGTTAAGACTATGTGTTGTGTTTTGTTATGCTGCAGATAGTGATGGTGGTGAAAGAAAACCCTCTGCTGATGGATGTGGAAGCACTTGAGAAGTGTCGCAAGGTCAGTTGCATGTTAATGCATTATGCTCAGAGCTGAGATTCATTACAATAAACTTGATTGAATTGAAACCTGACCCAACTTAATAACTTTTCTCACTGCACTTAACCCCGGGTTATCATCGTTCTTCTAAACCCAGAGTAAAGGAACATTTCACACTTGAAATTTAGAAGCAGGTTTAGCACTGCTTTTATGGCAAGTTGTTTTAGCTTTTATTCATTTCCAGGATATGAATTCTTGATATCAACAATTGAATTCTTGATATCAAAAATAAAGTTTTTTACTTGTAATAATTGTATTTCTGATATGTGAAATTGGAATTTCAACTAGTAAGAAATCAATTTTTGATATCAACAATTGGTTTTGAATGGCAGCCTATGGTGACATTTCACTCGTGAAAATACAATTATTGATATCAATAATTCACATCCTGGAAATTAATAAAAGCTAAAACGGCTTGCCATACTGCTTTTCCCTCTGTGTTATGAAACCCTGTTCCACCGCAGGGTTAGTGCCACTTTTGCAGTGTCAAACGTGTGCAGCATGAAATGATGCGACAACCAATTGCGTGCCTCATATTCACGTTCATTGAACAGTCACGGAAACAATGTTTAATTTTTACCTTAATAGTCTGAAAAGAAAAAAAAATGCTAGAGCAGGTCGTGTGCTGCTTTCGTCCAATCAATGACACTGACACAGCAAATATGCAAATAAGCATGTTAACCCATGGTTTGGGAATGTACAGTGTGAAATGTCAGTGTAATACCCAGGATTAATTGTTAACAACGGGTTAAGTATGAGCTGTGTGAAACATGAAGCAAGATAACGCAGGATTCTGTTAAACCCAGGTTTTTAATTGACCCTGGGTTAACTTCTTCAAGTGTGTAAAGCCCTCTTGTGTCTTCCAGGTTCTGGAGCTGATCTGTGAGAAGTGCATCAAACAGCAGGATATGAATGAAGTGTTGGCCATGAAGATGCACTACCTCAGCTGTGTGATGCAGAAATGTGGCTCTTTCCTGAAAGATCGCCAGGACAAGCTTGATGGCCTCATCAAGAGGTAGAATATTAGATATACATTACTGTTCAAAGGTTTCTGTTAATTAAGAAAGAAATTATAACTTTTATTCAACAAGAATGCATTAAAATAAACAAACGTGATGGTAAAATTCTTCAAATGTTCTTTTAAAATTCATTGACAATAAGAAATGTTTCTTAGACTTAGACTTAGAATTATCTTTATTAATCCTTAGGGATGACTCCCAAAAGGAAATTGAAATTGGAAATTCTTGGGCATCAAATCAGCATATTATAAGGATTTCTGAAAAATCATATGACACTGAAGACTGGAGTAATGTTACTGAAATTTCAGCTTTGCATCTCAAAAATATTACTTAAAAAAAAAAACATTAAAAAAAAATTATCTTAACCACAAACTAAAATTAAAAGGCCCTCTTGTGATCTATAAAGCAACTCCGATATCTCTTCTCAGTCTTGTGAAAGGGCGAGACAGTGATGGCTTCCCGGTATTCCAGGAGAAGTTCCTCCGGGAGTGCATTAGGAAATTTCCATACTGTGATGCCACATTGCTGCAGCAGCTGGTCCGGAGTATCGCTCCTGTGGAAATTGTGAGTTATTTGCTCATGTCGAATATAATTGGGATTGACATAAAATGATGGAAATGTAGCCTCAGCTAGAAAGACTGAACCTTATTCCAGTTATGGAAGCCTCACCAGTGCTTTTCCGACAGGGAAGTGACCCCACCGCTCTGTCAGTGCTCACCCAGGCCATCACGGGGCAGGTGGGCTTCATGGACGCAGACTTCTGCACATCCTGTGGTGAGAAAGGGGCAGAGAAAAGATGCTCCATCTGCAAAATGGTAAATATCAGGTTTGATCTTATTATTGTTGCACTTTTTTGGTTTCCTGAGGGGCTTGCTTAAATCCGTGCATATGTTCAGGTGATCTACTGTGGCCCGGCCTGTCAGAAGCTGCACTGGTTCAGCCATAAGAAGGTCTGTAAGATGTTACAGGAGCAGAGAGAGAAACATGAAGCTGATTCAGCATCACGACTACAGAAACAGGCCAAAGGTATGCAGATCAAATTTGTATTGCTTTTACTGTGACACTTACAACAAGTACAATGGTATTAATATGTTTTTTGGGGTGTCCTCCCATGGTAATACCATATTCTTTAGGCATGCACCAATAATTTTCTGCTCTGCCATTATATCATCTATAGCATTTCAGCGAGAAGAAATTATATTTCAAACAAATTGTGAGCTTGCGTTCTGAATTTAATTTAATGAGATTAAAGAAATACGAGTCATTATTTTTAGTGATCATGCTGCAAGGATTTGATTTACTAAAAAGAACCAAATCGTACAAGTCATTCGTTTTTACAAATTAAAGGGATAGTTCACTTTGAAATACATTTTTGGTATGTTTTATCTTACCTCAAGGGCATCCAAGATGTAGGTGTCTTTGTTTCCACAGTAGTTTCAATTTTTATATTTTTAGGTCAAACCGTTCTTGTCTGTCAGTCATATAATGGAGGTCTATGGTCACCACCTCACAGAGCATGCACAGAGAAGTCCAAATTAAACATGATTTAATGACTCGTAAATGTAAGTACACGATGGCATAAGACACGAAACGAGCGGTTTGTGTGAGAAAACGAACAGTATTTATATCGTTTTTACCTCTTGTTACTACAGCCATAAAGCGCCCACACCCTCAGATCACTTGGACGTGGCTGTGGTTACAAGAGCTAAAAACTATATTAATACTGTTCGTTTTCTCACACAAACCGCTCGTTTCGTGTCTTAGGCCATCAGTGTATACTTACATTTACGAGTCATTAAATCATGTTTAATTTGGACTTCTCTGTGCATGCTCTTTGAGGTGGTGACCATAGACCTCCATTATATGACTGACAGACAAGAACGGTTTGACCTAAAAATATCAAAATTGAAACTACTGTGGAAGCAAAGACACCTACATCTTGGATGCCTTCGAGGTAAGATAAAACATACCAAAAATGTATTTCAAAGTGAACTATCCCTTTAAGCTGCACTGTTCACACGGTATGTGTTTGATTCACTAAAAAGAATCAAATTAAAGGAGTTATTTGTTTCAGAAAGCAAGCTACTCTGTTCACGCTGTATGTTTTTGATTTATTAAAAAAAAGGAATCATAAAATTCTTTGGCTGTGTCCGAAATCGCTGAAATAGGACACTATTTAAGGGGACAGTCATTTGTAGTGGTGTCAGAAAACATAGTGGATTTTATCGAGTGAACTCATTTAATCCCACAATGCACCACAATAACGAGTGTACATCGATATACACTCAGCGGCTAGAGAATGCCCATAATGCACTGTGAAGTTGCACGCCGGATGAATTCCCGCGTCTGACCAGAAGATGGCGCCCACAACTAAAGCAATTATCATCCATCTATACATTTTCCAAACAGCTACAGTTATCATGCAGGTATACAACCTCTTTAATTGATAATTAAATTGTTTAATTAAGATTTGTACATAGTTATTCTTGACTACTGGATCTGCCAGTCTCCTATAGTAGTGAATGAGTGTATTAGGGGTGATTTTGAACACAGCCTTTGTTTCGTAAATCAAAGTTCACTGTTTATGCTCTATGTTTTTTTTTATTAATTTTCAAAAAATATTTTCACTGATATAAACCATATCAGATCAAACGCTAATGTGGAAACCAGGAGAAATATTGTGCCGTGAATGAAGGAGTTATAGAAGGCTTTCCAGTTTCTTTTTTGCCGTTGTTGAAATAATATAGAGATAATGTCATTAAAATAGCTTAGTGATCTGAAGTCATCAGTGTGAATCAAGCTCTTTTTTTCTCGCGCACAGCTGAGGAGGATCAGGCATTGGAGGAGACGACCGGCACTTTGGAGGAGCTCTCCATAAGTCAGAGTAAGACCATCAGCACTTCAGATAACCAAACCGAGGACATCAACTCTGTGACTGTCTCTGTTACTGCAGACTGAATTACAACGACTCTCCATTTCAACCCAGCACCCATCATTATCATCATTGAAGATCCGTCTAAGACAAAAGAGAGCACATCCGTAACATCAGCCAGAGGTTTCTTTAAGGTTCTTGTACTGGATGCTCTTCTGAAGCACATGATGTAGGGCAAAAAACACCAAAATGCACAGAATGAAAGGTCTACTAGTGACTTTTTTTTTTAAATAGCCTTTTTACATTTATGTTGGGAAAATATATGTATTTATGTATGTGTAATGTATAATTTGCTTTAGGAAAGATTGTAATATATTGTTGCCTATGCCTTAAATTTCTTAGTCTTTTGTTATGGAAAAGGATACAATGAATAGTTGGCAACAGCTTGTGTGAGCCTTCATAAAACTGTAGAATTCATTTAAATGGAGTTATAAGTTATTTTTGGAGACATCTGATATTGAAATGCCATAATGTTTCACAAAGCAAATAAATCTATTTTCCATCTTTAAGTGATAAACTATTAGCTCACATGTTTTCTGATGAACACATGTCAAATATCAGATGTCACCTGCTACATCTGTTTAAGAAACACAGCTTAAACGCACACAATAGCCGCGTTTCCACTGCCGGGCTAGGGCTGGGCCAGAGCTAACAGCGAGCCGGGCCGAGCTAGTGGCCTCGGGCCTCAAGCACCGGGCTTGCGTTTCCACTGCCGGGCCAGTAGCCCCACAGCGCTGCCCCAGACCCCACCCCTAACACGCCTTTCAGGATCAAACGTCATAAAACCCAACCCATTTCAGCGGGTATTATGAATTAATTTATTTTTTAAATTAGGAAGATAGCATGTATATTAACTCAACTGCCGTAGTGGCTGCAATAGTGTCCCGAGACCAGTACAGGCGATTCTCCATTTCAAGCAGCGATTTTTTGCGCGATATAACAAGTAGGGCTGCGGGCACGTTTTCAAGTTATTCATTAATCGTTAACCGAGGCCCATCGGTTAATACTCGGTGCATAGTGTGCGCGCCGCAACCTCGAGATACAGAGTAAATTTTTAACACCTTTAATAACTGATTGGACCCCATTTGAAACGAAATTAATTTATAGAAATAAAACGCAGCAAGTACGGAGCAGTTAAAGCCCATATTTCCATCACCCTTCAAACTGAAATTGCCAATTGAAAATAAGCAAAACGTCCATTTCACAAAAACTCCGTGTCTGCAAATAATAATAATAATAATAATGATAATAACCATCATCATCATTATTGTAACATTTTATTAGGCTGCATATGTAGAAGACGTCTTTATCCAAAAAAGGAACAGAGCACAAATAAACACAATATTTTTGACAAATATCATGCAGCGCATATCCAGTGTGTGTGGAGCACGCACTGATGGCTGCGAGACGCCCATGTGAACAGTTTCATTGCATTTCTTTCAGTGGAAACAACTTAAAATACTCTTTAATTTCTGGTCATACAGAAAATAATAATACATTATTCGCAAATACATTTATTTATAACAAGAAAACGTTGTGCTTTAACAATTAATCAAGGCGCGCTTCATGATCTCCGTGAACTGAAGCGCGAGACCTGAAACAGCCACCGCATTCGAATTTGTTCGTTTTAAATTGGACATTTAAAGCTTTAGTCTACAGGGGTTATATCCTTTGTAGATTAAAGCTTTAAATGTCCAATTTAAAACGAACAAATTCGAATCGAAAGCCAATATCTTCTATGTTTATGTAGCTTAATTTCTCTCTAAATGTGCATCCGGAGATGGAGATATGTTTTTAGCCGAAAATCATTTAGAAAACAATAGTTTATTAATAAACAATTAATGCCTCGTTATTTTATATTATTTTATTATCAGACACATTTATTATAGCCTATAAATCACCCATAAATCCCCTTTCTGTAGGCTGTGGTTACGGCTCTTCTCATTCAGCACTGCGGGGAAAATATCATTTCCAGGTTCTAATTTGGCCTCAGAAAACCAGTAAAATATATATATTTTTTCATATTAATTTGTCAAATATTTTAAATGTTTAAGGGGCAAAAAAATCAAACAAATATCTGAAAATTCGTCGATATGTAGCTATATATAGCCTTTGTTGCGCAGCATTTGGCATAGGCAGTTCAAATTAAAATGTTATGCAATTTTAAACAGTTAATCGGACACCCCTGTGCATCTTGCTTCAGATCATAACGTTCCTTAACACCGATAAACTCCGCCTTTTACCTTGAACACGCCTCTAGCCCGAGCTGAGGAAGCCCCGATCAAGCCCCGGAAGTGACAGTGGAAACGCGACTGGCCCTGGCACGCACTAGCACGGCCCGGCCCTGGCCCGGCAGTGGAAACGCGGCTAATGTTTATTGAGATTGAAATGACACCGTGAGAGCTGTTTTTCATTGATTTAAACCACTTGGGCTTGTCAAATATTTTATCATGCGAACAAGAGTGGTGGCAGGGGTCTCGAGATCATCTAAGTTTGACTGTCAGTATGTCAGACGCAGGTTTGCTCGAGTCGTAGATGGTTTCGCTGAGATGTGTTTGTACCGGTTCGTAATGGAGAGCTGTGTGATGGACTTGACCACTGAGGGATTTTCTAGACCTGAACGGTTGCTAAAGAAGACATACTAAGTCATCAACTGTGATACATTTGCTGTAGTTGAAACATTAAAAATATGAAATACTCCATCACTGCAACCTCTTCCTTGAGACGTGCTGACCTGTTACTATAAAACAAACAATCCTTTAGATGCATTTTAGGAATCTTAAAATACTGGAATTTATTAGTTCTTTGTTAGATGAGAGCTTTACTTTACCTACTGGCTTTGTGTGTTTGTCTAATGTTAGAAATGGATGACTAAATATTGTCAGAAATGAAAAAAAGCTCTACCAGTGTCTAAATACTTAACAGTGTGATTTGCTTACAACAGCCAAATAACCATTTTACATCATTTTCAGATATGTTTTGGTTGTGATTTTAGAAGTTTATGATTATGTTCATAGGATGTATCGGCGATATTCAGGATCTTGTATGAAGGCGTTCAGATTATCAGATATAAAGCTGAACGAATCTTTTAACGAGTCAACTCGTTCATTTCGTTCGTTGAATGAACTATAGAAGAATGAACCAAATGACACGAAAAATGATTTGTTCATTTTGATAAACGTGTTTGAACAGGAGAGTCACGAACGCGTATCACAGAACAGAGCATGGCGACCATTTGAGCTTATAAAACTTTGCTGTTGTTGTTGTTTTAAATGAGCACCATTGCGCTTGATAAGACTTCATCGTCTGGAATCGTTTAAAGCCCTTTGAACAGGTTGCAGTTTGCACTGAAAGTGTCTTTTGGACCTTGAACCGTTTGGTCACAGCACATGAACGCGCACGCTGACAGCCATGGGAAATTTTAAGCACAATTTAGTTGTCTAGGGTGACGTTTTCAAACCCTTGGTTGCTGTTCGTGTCTTTGCTTGTCCATGAGGTGGCAGGACTTTCCTTTTTAAATTTTGGAATTTCCTTTAAAATCCCCACCACGCGAGGCACAAGTTTATGGCAGGTCTATTTGCGTTTGCATGTTGGCTATTAAAATAATAGGCTATGCAAATTAAGATAGGGGCATGTCTTTTATTAATTTACTTATTTGTTAATTAGCCAACTTGGTGATCATTGAGCATTTTTATTATTAATATGAAATAGATCGATATCGTTATCTTTATTAAAGACCATGCCGTGATCGTAATAGTTTTAAATCATTAAATAAATGGAAGATATTTTCGGTCAATTTTAAATAAATCAATTCAATAAAAATTAAAACTAAAACCAGATTAACCGTTTCATTACAGAAAAAATTTATACAAAATTGAAAAAAATTTATTTCGCAGTTTTCATTTTCAACGTCAACATGCAAATTGTACATGTTAATGAGTGACCTTCCATAGAAATAGTGTAACAGTGCCTGTAACAGTTAGCCGTATTCAGTATTCAACAAGTATTGTTTATCGATCAATCAGTCAAACTATTAATCAGTCAATCAAACGCAGGGAAAGTCGTTTTCACATCATTTTCAATAAACAGATTGAATCAACTTGCCAAACAGATTATTGTTGATTAATCGCTGTTTAAATGAGGAAACAATGTTTTCTCAGTCACTTTTCGTTGGATTTCACAGTAATTTTGTGGTCAACTTGCTTGCAAAAATCATGCACAGAGTTTGCTTATATAAAATGTTGAGTGTTTAAGAGCACAAACATCTAAATGAATTATGGGCTCTCGGGGAGTCCAGTAACCATTCATTTGACTCCAGATGTTGGAGCACCTCACAGGGTTGAGTGTTTGGCTGGGTGTGGTTTAGAGGAGAGACGCTTGTTCTATCATTCCGCTCACCTGAGCCTTTGCCAAAGCTGGAGGCGGGAGCGTGTATATATAGCCTACACTGACTGTATATATAACCCAAGACATGATAGTGAGTGAGAATCACTCAGATTCCAGGAGCATCTCTCCACTGGCTGCGGGTTATTTCACATCACCATGTATATAAACGCACCCGAATCGTGCAATTTCATGTTTTTATTTTGCTTCTTCATAAGGAGTGGTCTGACTTTGAAGAATGATGCTACGGAGATTTTCTACTCTCATGTGGTCAGTCCCGTTGAGGATACTCAGAGCAACGCGTCTCTGAATCGCGCGCGCACCGGTGGAAGAGGCTTCGCAGCGCACGAGAGAGGTGAGCGCACGCGCCTGGACACACATCACTTGTTTTTATTGGTGGTTATTTATAACCGCAGCTTTTCTTTTTAAGAAATGTTGTTTAAATAGATTGTTCAAATGCTCCATTTAGAATGAACTTTTACAATAAACCAGTTCTCTATGGAAAGTGACAATTATGGTTGATTTTGATAAATGTTTTTGAATCTTCATAGCAGCAATATCTACACTGAAAGGAATTGTAACCTAAAAACATTAATTATTGTTTTACGTCATCAATCTAATAGCCTACATTAACTTTAGACCACCATCAAAACTATTTGTATGGGTTAAAGTAGTTCTAGCTCCTCAAATACATCAGGTTACTATCCTATTGAATTTTTGTCCCAATTATGAATTTAAAGTCAGTTAAACTAAATTTAAATAAATTTTCTACCCTAAACCTAAAAAGAGGCTATATCATAGGCTACACAAATATTTAGGCTAATATATATGTTTTGCACATAGACTAATTTTCTTTTCTGATATTCCCTGAATTTTTACTTTGTCTCTGATCATATTTATTTACTCATGCATAGTCCTAAAAGTAAACCGACTTGTTCAGAAGTTTATAACTAAAAGTACATTTTTGTATATAGACATATACTTTATAGGACCTTGCCGATTTTCCACCGTTATCTCAGAAAAAAAAGATATTTTCGTTAGCTCATGCTGACCCAGTGAGGCATGTTGTCACACAATAGGGTAAGTTGTCACAGTGAAACCCACCATTAAACAGCCTATTATAGACAACAACATGTGTTATAGACAACATTAGGGTTAAATATGGATTATTACATAGTACACAGAGATAAAACAATGTGCTGAGCGTTGAGGTGCAGCTCAGTTTTTCAGTTATACAGGGGGAACCTTGTTTATTTTGAACGAAGTTAGGAGGAAGAAAATGTCTATCCGATCCCCATTCATCACGTCCTGTCACAGAGAGAAGGGGGTACATTGTAACTGTGGTGTGTTGCTGCTATGTGAATGGATTTTGGCTTGGGTTACGCTGACAGGAGGCACTGCTCTGAGGCAGAACAATGCTGATAGTATAGCCAGCGCCACCGGCGAAATCTGACAATAAGAGGCTCAGAGTCGTCATTCATCTGTACATTAAGCCATTTCCGCTCAGTTCAGAAATGGGTTGAAATAAAGCAAACAAAGCATATCATCCATACAACTGTTGTTTATGTCTGCTCACAAACCGTGAAGGAACACTTTAGAACAACACCAATCCTGAAGTCTTTCTTCATTGTTCTTTAAAGATTTAAGGAGTATCATGAAATTATCAGTTTTTATGCCATATTGCAGTTTTAAAAATAATTTATATAAAAATAATGGTACCTTCCTAATCTTTAATCAAAATAACTTCCCCTGCCTATTGCAATGACATCTCTGTTTACTGGAGCGAGGGCGGGACAACCTGTCACTCACATGAGATCAACTAATAGCAAACCAGCACCATCCAATCAGTTTCCGGTGGACAAAATGAAGTCCCGCCCTACATTTTTTCTTGTTTGAGAAGCTGTTTCACTTGGATATGTCACATAAGGGAAGAAAAGACTTGTGTTTCATGCTGACTTTTTGTTCTTTTTTTCACTCTTTAATACAGAACGAGTCCCGGTCGGCTGCAGAGAGCTGCGATCCACCAAGTACATCTCAGACGGCCAGTGCACCAGCATTAACCCTATTAAAGAACTGGTGTGCACGGGACAGTGTCTTCCTGCTCAGATGCTGCCCAACTGGATCGGTGGATACAGTAGGAAGTTCTGGAACCGCCGAAACAGTCAGGAGTGGCGCTGCGTGAACGACAAGACCCGGACCCAACGGATTCAGCTGCAGTGCCAGGATGGCAGCAGCAGGACCTACAAGATCACAGTGGTGACCTCCTGCAAATGCAAAAGATACACGCGGCAGCACAACGAATCAGGAGTCAAGACTGAGGGATATGTTCATACCCAGTTAAAAAAACACAAAAAAAGGGGGGGCACTGGGACTGAAAGCTAAACGAGTCTCTGCTCGGACTGAGCTACTAGATTTTCCCATTTACGTAAACGAACTCAGTATGAACAAGAGAGCGTGACGTCAGCTCAAAAGAGCACTGAACTTTCTGTGTGCTGCCTTTGTGAGCAAGTGCAGGGCTCTGAGTTCACTGTGAAACTGTGCAGTCTTTGGAAGCAGGAGAAAAGGGACTAAATCTCATCAATTTAATCACAATTAACATCCCATGTGACCCTGTGTCGAAAGAGATGGACAATGACAAATGCATATTGCATTACAAAAATTAGAAAGTCTGTGATTCCAATAGTTTTTGTCATCACTGACTGATATGTGTGGTAATAATTAGCTGTATAGTATATACTTTATGGCCTGGTTTCACAGACAGGGTTTAGATTAAGCCAGAATTAGGCCTAGTTCAATTAGGACATTTAAGTACCTTTTAGAAATGTGCCTTAGGAAAAAAAAAACACTTCTGGTGTGCATATTGAGACAAAACAATGGCACCAACATATTTTAAGATATGTCAGTGCAAGTTGCTTTATGATAAATCGGTCCAAACATGCTTTTTTGTCTGGGACTGGATTTAAGCCTTGTCTGTGAAACTGGGGGTATGTCTTTGTCTTCAGCTACAACAATAAGAACAATTCTCAAACTCGAGTAATGCATAGCTACATGTAAATTAAATGTCTGTACATATACATATGCAATTAATTGTTTTGCAGGACCTTTTTGTGTTAACAAAAAAATACAACATTGTGACGTACAGTATAAGCTGATGTAATATATTTTGCCTCGACTATGTGCAAGTATTATTCAGACAAGATATTGCATAGTGGCAATGCTCATATTTGCTATTCTGGTGTTAAAGCATTAAATTGAAAACATCTGAAAATGTCTCAGTATAATAATTTTGATCTCTGGATGAGGTGACACATTATCAACTTCTATGGCTATTACCCGAACTATAATAGTCCATTCATTTACTACATGTTAGAATTGAGGCACCAATGTACCACCAGCTTACTGATGAAACTGAGGAACAGAACAGGTGACAAAATCCATTATAAAAATAGTGGAAATAATAAATGATAGCAATTAGCATTTCATGTGCCTCTTTCATGTGCAAATAAAGACAAAGCAGGGTGAACAGACAAGATTTAACTATTTATATAATCAGCTGCCAATCATTAGCAGCCGATCATCAGACTATATTCAATAGTCAGACCATGTTCAATAAACTTTCAAAACAAGTTAGTTGGCCTATCTATTTTTTCGTTATGCAGGAATTATTAACTCATTTTAGCTAATAGTATTTTGTTACTAGTTATTATTTTTAGTTTAGTTCTTTTATAGTGACTAGAGCAAGCTAGATTCATTACGTACCAGTGTTAGGGGTAACGCTGCACATTGCAAGTAACTTGAGTTACATAATCAGATTACTTTTTAAAGTAATGAGTAAAGTAACACATTACTTTTAAATTTACAGCTAAATATCTGAGTTACTTTTTCTAATAAGTAACACAAGTTACTTTGTTTTATCATTATTGACCTTCCCATTTATTGAAATTTGCATTTCCTTAAGCCAGTCTTTTTCATTTCACATTTGGTGTCAAAAATATAACTTAAAAATTAAAATACAAACAAGTAAGCCCACCCTAGGTGAGAAAAAGTAACGCAAAAGTAACGTAACACTGTACATTCCATAAAAGTAACATAATTAGTTAACAATATTGTAAAAAAGTAACTTCCCCCAACACTGCTGCTCACTACTATTTATTCTTTATTTATTTGTAAGTAGGCTAACTATTCAAATTTAGTTTTTCAAGTATTAGCTCATCGAATAGGCACTAAAAAAGAAAAAGAAAAATAGCTTCACGTTTTTTAAGTGTTCTAATATAGACTATAAAGTAATTCTGACTAGTGAAAGTGACGAAAGGAATGTTACTTTTATTTGAAAATGTTGACCCCTTGCATGTATTTTGATTCGGAATATAATTTTAACAAAGATTGAATGATGCTATGCAATGATATCAGTTCACAGCAGTGTCATGATGAGTGGATGTGGATGAAAGGCTCAGTCTGTAGAGGACCCGTGGGAAAGCGGCATCATTACTGCCGCGAAACACTGCTCAAACCCCGCTAACCACTCGCCCACAGAATGCAGAATACCGGTTAACAAGTTATTTCTATGAACACGGTTGCTACAAGTGAGGAACGTATTAAAACGCTGAAGAAATGCAGCAAGAGCGCTGTTCTTCCTCCGAAAGGCCTCTAGATCCCCGCTGTATGCTCACTCTCGACGCCGAGGGGAGCGAGGACAGGCTCGGCCGTGCGGCGGTGGATTTCCCGGTAGCTGTAGTTCTGCCCGCCGGAGGCTCCGGAGAGAGGATGGGACTGCCCACACCGAAACAATTCTGCACCATTCTTAACAGACCTCTGATAAGCTATACGATTCAAGCCTTTGAGAGGTGAGACTGGCTATTTCCGTGAGCACACGAAACTTATTTTATTAACCTAAATACTTGACATGTTCGTTGTTTGTTATTATTAGCAGATGAAAACAGCATAACAACATCATTATGCCTGTCACAATTACGTCTATTAGTTTGACATTAGGACTTTTTTTTCCCTCCCAAGTAAACAGGCAGCAGTCCAAGGACACCTAACGTTACTGCATGTAGATCTTGGCCAGAACAGACTGTTCAATCCTTATTAAGAACATCTGCAGATGCTGCAGAACTTGGGAAAGGCTAAAGCACTTGACATTGACTTGGCATATTTAATAAATTGCACTGTGATGTAAAAGTTAGCTGTGAGTTTCATATTTAAAGAGCTGTCACTTCAATTTTCAAGGACAAAAGCAACAACTTAGAGCTGCTGTAATTCATTTTTTTTATTGGGGGATATTTTAAACGTCCAGACTATATGACAGATATCACCTAAATAAGCTGCTTAAGATATTAAATTACAGTTGTCTCTGTCTGTCCCGTCCATACCCTATACAGCATATATATATATATGAAGAGTTCAGATGCAAAAGCCTAAATGCCATTTGAAATTTTCTTCTAAAATGACCATTTTTATCAAGCTTCTATATTTAAGTTCAGTAATTTCACTTAAATGACAATTAATAGGTAATCTTCATTGCCATTTAAGTGAAATTACTGAACTTAAATATACAAGCTTGATAAAAATGGTCATTTTAGAAGAAAATTTCAAATGGCATTTAGAGGCTTTTGCATCTGAACTCTTCATATATATATATATATAATACTAAAGTAACACTGCTTACTGCAGCATAACATACAATTTGTTCCCTGACTTACTCCATTGACAGTGATTATGTTGCTTTTTTTTTAGAACTAGACAAATTAAACCTGTTCTTTCTGTATTTTCTTGACAGATTATCATGGATTGGAACTGTTGTTGTTGTGGTTGCTAAGGAGAATCATGACTTGATGCTGAATATTGTCCAGAAATTTAATCATTCAAAGGTAAAAGTAGTCCATGGGGGAACCACCAGACACAGGTCTATCTTCAACGGACTTCAGGCTTTCAGTAACACTACTGACTCATCATTGACGCCTAAACCAAAAGTGGTCATTATCCATGATGCCGTACGTCCCTTTGTGGAAGAAGATCTTCTGCTGAAAGTCACCCTAGCAGCTAAAGAGCAAGGGGTTTGTTTTCTTGTCTTTATCCATATTGGTTTGTTCAAAACAGGGCATTTTTATGTTTGTTAACATGATGAACAGTGTGGTTGGAGCTTTTCAAAAAATGTATATATATTATCAATGATTTATCTAGTTTTGGATTATGTCTAACAGTGGTTTGAAAAATAAAAATAAATAAAACCTATGTTAATCTTTGCCCAAAATATAATGCTACAGTATAATCAACCCCAACATTTAAGTGAATTATACAAAAGTTAAGATTAAATTAATTTTTTTTTTTGTGTCTGCCATATGGAATAATTCATTTGAAAACACTCCCTGAAATATTTGCGGTGATGAATGTCTTCACTATCTGAACCCTCCCCTTATAATCTGCTGTACCACGGTCCAAATGCCTGTCAAATTTATGGACTGAGTGAAAGTCAGGCCACCTTAAGCTGTTGAAGGTGAATTCCTGATGCAAGCTTCAGAGATGAATGTGTCTGACTGAGAAGCTGTTATATATATAATAAATATGAAAAACTCCATATGCCACAGAACAAGAATCCCTACCTACAGAATATTTCACCCCTCCAAGGTAAACATATTAAAACTGGGAACAGAATACCTTGACGGAAGACGGAAATTCTGCTTCCTTTGTGGTTTGATTGCATTGCATAAAGCCCTATGAAATCCGTGTTAGTTTTTCCCAAATTTTCTTTTTCTTTCGGAAATTTTTTGCACTCAGATTGTATGGTTAAATGAAATATTAGTAATCAAAGAGCATGTCTTATTAATTGAAACAATGAAATTTAATCATTTATTAATTAATTTTTTGTGTTCATTTAAGTTTAACAAAAAAATACATTTATCATATATTTTTTATCATAAATTGTGGTAAGCAAATGGAGGCATACAACATTACCAATTTATTAAAAATTTTTAAGTGTAATCAAATTAAAATTAAACAATTCCTTTTATTATTTTAAACCAGAGGTTTACTGTTAAAATGTAAACACATAAGAAAAATAATTTGAGTATTCCCTTAAGTTTCTAATAATTGTATTATTAATATATTACTTTGAGAGGTGCATTCTTTTCAATAGAAATATATTTTTTGTCACAATTTCTTCAAATTAAACCAAACTTTTATTTGAATTTCAAAAGTTGTGAAGATTTGAGTTAATGTGTGTACAATATATGATGTGTTAAGTAGCTTTTATAAACGTGCCTTAGAAAGAATCATTGCTGGTGTGTATCTTGAAACAAAACAATGGTGGTGACATATTTTAAGATATGTCAGTGCAAGTTACCTCAAAAATACATTTTAATCTGGGATTAAGCTTATGCCCTGTCTGTGAAACGAGGGAATTGTTATTTTATTAAGTGTACAGCCCTACAAAAATTGCCAAAAATCATAGGGCCCTATATACGTAATATTTCACTATACTACTGCTATATAATAAATATGAAAAAAAAAAAAAATCCAAAAAGGGAATCTATTTGAATATCTATATAAATCTTTAGATATGCTACAGAACATGAATCCCCTACCTACAGAATATTCCGTGCCTCCAAGCTAAACATATTGAAATCTGTATCAGGAACAGAATAATTCAGCAGAAGACGAGAAATCCTGCTTCATTTGTGGTTTGACTGCATTGCGGGCTGTTCCAATGTCCATAAATCACTAAGATAAACATATTGTTGACACCTCTCAGCACTACTCCTTACAGCATGAAACCGGATAAGATGTTTTTAGCAATGTTTTTGCTGGCTTTGATACTTGAGGTTCAGGATTTCTGTGATTTTCTTTTAAATCTCCTCTCCAAGGCTATGACAAGGGCTGGAAAGCAAAACCCAGATGTTTATGAAACACTCATAAGAATATGAGAAGGATAGTGATTCATTACCTGACCCAAATGCACCATTGTTTGGTAACCAATAAACAGATTTTCACAGGGCATGTTTTTAATTGTCCTATTGTCCACCTTTCTTGTTCTTTTCAGGCCTCGGGCACGATACGTCCTCTGGTGTCCACGGTCATTGCAACAACGTCAGAAGGCTACCTGGACCACTCGCTGGAGAGAGCCAAGTACCGAGCCAGTGAAATGCCTCAAGGATTTCTTTATGACATTATTTTCCAGGCCTACCAGCGGGTATGAGCAACCCAGACACATTTATTGTTTAGCATAAGCCTTATATTCAGTGTGCAATGTGACTGTCCTCTGATAATACAAACCTTGGACAGCTTGACATCCCCACTGGGACTTTCATTGTAATATTGGGCATCTCAGTATTTTTATGTTTTTATATGCATTTGTAATCAAATTTATTTTTATATATTTATTCTTTTTTATGTGCACTGCTGATGTTTTACGAAACCAATTTTCTATGAGACTCTTCAAGCTTAATATTTCTTTTTGCATACATTTTATAGATAATTTATCTATTAACTATTAATTTATCTAATATCTATTATCATAAAATAGATATTTTATGATATCAAATATTTACATAAATAATTATTTTATATATTTATTATTTTATAATAGATTTTATAATTTATTTTCGATTTATCTACCACTTGTTGCCTTTTGAATCTGTGATATTCTTCCACATTTGTTTATATACACTCACCTAAAGGATTATTAGGAACACCTTTCGCCTTCAAACTGCCTTCTACGTGGCATTGATTCAACAAGATGCTGAAAGCATTCTTTAGAAATGTTGGCCCATATTGATAGGACAGCATTTTGCAGTTGATGGAGATTTGTGGGATGCACATCCAGGACATGAAGCTCCCGTTCCACCACATCCCAAAGATGCTCTATTGGGTTGAGATCTGGTGACTGTGGGGGGCCATTTTAGTACAGTGAACTCATTGTCATGTTCAAGAAACCAATTTGAAATGATTCGAGCTTTGTGACATGGTGCATTATCCTGCTGGAAGTAGCCATCAGAGGATGGGTACATGATGGCCATAAAGGGATGGACATGGTCAGAAACAATGCTCCGGTAGGCCGTGGCATTTAAACGATGCCCAATTGGCACTAAGGGGCCTAAAGTGTGCCAAGAAAACATCCCCCACACCATTACACCACCACCAGCAGCCTGCACAGTGGTAACAAGGCATGATGGATCCATGTTCTCATTCTGTTTACGCCAAATTCTGACTCAACAGAAATCGAGACTCATCAGACCAGGCAACATTTTTCCAGTCTTCAACTGTCCAATTTTGGTGAGCTCTTGTAAATTGTAGCCTCTTTTTCCTATTTGTAGTGGAGATGAGTGGTACCCGGTGGGGTCTTCTGCTGTTGTCGCCCATCTGCCTCAAGGTTGTGTGTGTTGTGGCTTCACAAATGCTTTGCTGCATACTGTACCTCGGTTGTAACGAGTGGTTATTTCAGTCAAAGTTGCTCGTCTATCCGCTTGAATCAGTCAGCCCATTCTCCTCTGACCTCTAGCATCAACAAGGCATTTTCGCCCACAGGACTGCCGCATACTGGATGTTTTTCCCTTTTCACACCATTCTTTGTAAACCCTAGAAATGGTTGTGCGTGAAAATCCCAGTAACTGAGCAGATTGTGAAATACTCAGACCGGCCCGTCTGGCACCAACAACCATGCCACGCTCAAAATTGCTTAAATCCCCTTTCTTTCCCATCCTGACATTCAGTTTGGAGTTCAGGACATTGTCTTGACCAGGACCACACCCCTAAATGCATTGAAGCAACTATGTGATTGGTTGATTAGATAATTGCATTAATGAGACATTGAACAGGTGTTCCTAATAATCCTTTAGGTGAGTGTATATATATATATATATATATATATATATATATATATATATATTTAATAAATATTTTATAATAAAAATATGTATATTGATATAAATATCTATTTTATTTAATGATTATTTTTTATTTATATTAGATTTATGGACTGCTCATAAATATCTAATTTTTTATAGTTTTTTTGTCATTTGTTTGTTAATATTTTGTACATATTTTTTTATTAAATAAATATGTTATAATATACATATATAAATAATTATTTATAATTTTTATACATAATAATTGTATTATATATATATATTATATTTATGCACTGCTCATTGAATTTTGATCCCAATATTCTTTGTGACCTTTTTTATTGTATCCAGTGCGTTTGGCGTTTAGTCAAACTTTCGATCTTAACAGTAAGAGATAGAAGTGTTAAAAAGAAGCATTGAGATTTATAGGGCTGCTGAGAGGACCATTTTTTGGGTGCCGAATATTTTGCTTCTGGAAAACTTTGATTTCACAGTCCTGTTGTTTTTGGCTGTGATATCGAACATTAGCGTTTTCTGTGTCAAGTCGCAGCTGTCCGTCCTCAATTAATTCTAAATACAGATAAAACCATGACATAGAGAGATTCAGCGGATGAGGCAATCTGAAGAATGGGTAATATCAAGCCAGCTTGGGTGTTACCTGATACCCCCCGCTCTTCTGGGGCTTTTCTTCTCCAACCCCAACAGTGAAGGGTCTGCGAAGATTTATATGCTTCTCCTTGCTTTTTGAACCCACTTTTCTATGAGACTCTGCCACCACGTGACATAAAACGGTCCATACTTCTTTTTTTATGTAGTATTCAGCACGTTTGACGCTTTTTACAATAGAGGTTATTTCAGGTGGGTGTTTTGAGTGAGGGTTTTTGGATGTAGCCAACGGCCATGTGTCAAAACCCTCTCTGTGGTAGCCTCAAAATGACTGATGCCATTTCAGCATGCCATCTCATTGAATCTCAGAGAGTTTGAGCTTCACAAAAGACGAGACATCCAACCCCGTGAGGGTCTGGCTGTGTGTTGATGAAAAGGGGGAAAAATGCCAAAGGTTAAATGATTGCAGGACTTTCTCCTTTAATTTGCCTTGAAATCACAGAGCCCTGTAAGCGAAGCTCTCCCCTCCACCCAGGATGAAATATTGCTGTAGATATTGCCCCCCTAACGTCTCGGGTGGCATGATTTAGGTTGTGTAATCTAACCGCTGTCTTAGAGCGATTCGCTTCAAGGACTCTATTCAGCTTTTTTAATGTGTTACCAGAATCAGGGACTTTTTTTTTTATTCAAAAATCTCACGTGCATTCATGCATTTCTGTCAGAAACAGAATTTATTCTTGTAAAATACATCATCAGTAACTACACATGGCTTTTCTTCCCCAGTATTTCTCGTTTTCTAGTTCAAATATCCAAACATTCTTAAATCAAGATACAAATACTTGAGAAGCAACATCACATAAGATAGCAATTCTTGTTTTCTGAAAAATATATCAAAAATAAATGAATTTCCCAAATTATGACTTTTCTTTTTTACGCTTAAAGTCACAAAATTTTGATCAAGAATGCTTCTTTATCAAAAAGCTAATTTTGCATCTCAAATAAATGTATGTTGATTTAAGAATGTGTTGTATTTGTACTGGAAAACAAGATCAAAATCTTTTTATTTTATTATTTTAATTTGTTTAATTTTATTTCAAGAATAATATTGACTCAATCAAATCAGGTTTTGTTAGTATTATTATTATTTATTTAAAGAAAATTATTGACCTTGTACTGCTTTTTTGTATCAAAATATTAGTTAAATGCTGCTGTTTGTTAGTTTTTATCAAGTAAATGTATCTTGATTCAAGAATGTTAGATATTTGTACTGGAAAACTAGACAAAAATACTAAGGAAGAAGATTATTTGTTTGCAGTGCACCTTTGTTTTATTTTATCTTATTTAATCTAAGGAATAATTATTTATCTTGCATTGTTTTGTTTTGTTTTGTTTTTAGAAAAATATTAGTTAAATGCTGCTGTTTGTCAATGTTTTCATCAAGCTTCTCAAGTAAATGTAACTTGATTTAAGAATGTTTAGATATTTATACTGGAAAACAAGACAAAAATACTGAGGAAGAAAATCATTTTTGCAGTGATTTATCAATCTAAAGGGCTTCTTGTTTCATTTTTTTCTGTTTTTGTCCTGATTGCTTCTTTGCAGTGCAGTGAATCTGACTTTGAGTTTGGCACCGAGTGCCTACATTTGGCCCTGCAGTACTGTGGCACGAATGCAAAGCTCATAGAGGGACCACCGACTCTGTGGAAAGTAAGGAACAAAAAAATGTGACTTTTTCGGTGTCATGCATACAGAATTTATGCCATAAAGAGTGGGTCTAAATTAAAGTCTGAGACGGCATTGACCTTTTACGGTTTCATTTTTTTCCCCATTTAAACCTTGAAAAAAGGTCAGATTCTAGAATTTATATATTTTTTGTTTCTACTTGTACTGATAATCCACGGTAATTAAACAGTTTCTATTCAGTCAGCAAAATGAAAAGTGTTCTCAGACTTTTTTGACCTCACTGTATACATATTGGAACAAACCGTAAATCATTCCTAACAATGTGTACGACCACAAAAGTAATATTCAGTCATATTTGGCACATTTCGACCAAGCACAGTCCTTTAATGTGATGTTTTATAACACTGGTTTCTCTTTTGTAGGTAACATACAAGCGAGATCTAGCAGCTGCGGAGGCTATTATTAAAGGTATTGTAAAGTTGTGCTATTCACAGGCCACTGATTTTAGTCATTGCTGGGAATACAATATTGCCATTCACTGTTGTTATTGCAGAGTTGATCTTGCTTGATTATACATTTGAACTGGGCAAGTCAAAAAGGTTGTTTTCCACAGTTAGAGAGATCATTGGGCAAAAACAAACTGTTAGTAAATTGTATGTAAATATACAAAAAGAGACTGAACCACAGAAGCAAACCACCATTTCGAGATGTCTACACGCTGTCTTTTTATATACAAACAATCTTTTTAAGAGGAATTACAAAAGTGACCTATTATGACCCGTAAGATATGAGTTGACCAAGCAGGGGGCCAGTTCTCTGGTTGGGACAGAAATCAAAGAATTGGACAACATTTTCTATTTTGCCATTAAATCCAGTATGTGGTGTTTCAATTGTATTGGTTGTTCAAATGTTTCCATGCGCTCAGGTAATAAGATTATGACCCTGTCTATTCAATCAGTGCATTAAGCTGCTGTTGGCTTTTAACCCATTTCCATAATGTCAAACTTAGTGGAATAAAACAAAAAAATTGCCTAAAAATGTTTCAAACTTGGCTGAGTATTGGGCCACTTACCCCTTTCTGATGTCTGTCTTTACAATAAAGTATCCCTTTGGCTGTATTTAAAGTTTCCTTTTGCCTAGTCCACTATATCCCTGTTTTCACCTTTGGAGAGAGGTTCGGGAAAAAGCCATTTATCCTTGAGTTTGAATGCCAGGATTGTTACTAAAGCCTCTGATTAACGTCAATAGCTTTCAGTATGATAGAAGCTCATGTATTTGAGTCCTGTGCGCTTGAGCTAAAATTTTAAACATTTATTGCACATTGTTTACATTTTTTTCCCCCATAACAGTACATTAAATAAATCATGTTCCTTAAGGAATTTACTCATAAGAAAGAACACTCAGCATTTGTGACCCAGTCAAATTCTTTTAGTTTTTGTCTTTTATTATTTTATTTCAAGAAAATTATTGAACCAATCAAATCACAGTTTTGATGCAAATTATTGAAATGTTTCTTTTTGTCACCGTTTTCATCCAGTTATGTTAAATTGTGATTTTTATTTCTAGGTTTGTTAAGTGACTTTGGTTGAAATTTGTTCAAGTTTAATGCGGTAGCTTAGAACCTCATTTTTTTGTTCCAGATAAATACTACCGAAATTGAAAAAGTAAACTATATTATTTTATAGTCATATTTGAGATATTGAAGATATTTAAGGTAAGACTCCTGTAGACCCATGCAAACTCTATTTTTAGGGTTTGACTCATCAATATTTTGAACTTGTAGTTTAGCTGACCAACACTCTCACCCCTGGTTTCACGGAAAAGGCTTAATCTAGTCCCAGACTAAAATGCAAGTTTGAGTTGTTTTAACTTAAAGCAACTTGCATTGACATATTAAAATATGTCACTGCCATTGTTTTGTCTCAAGATGGATGCCAGTAAGGTTTTTTATGGCACATAAAATGTCCTAATTTACCTAATGCATAATCCTAGCTTAATCTAAACCCTGTCTGTGAAACCCTGTGAAGCCTCAGCGTAGCATTTCCAACACTAGGTTACAAACAAGGTTGACTTAAAGTGACTAAGATTAAAGGGATAGTTCACTTTGAAATTAATTTTTGATATGTTTTAGCTTACCTCAAGGGCATCCAAGATGTCTTTGTTTCCACAGTAGTTTCAATTTTATATTTTTAGGTTAAACCATCTGTCAGTCATAAAATGTAGGTATATGGGGTCCACCTCAAAGAGCATGCCCAGAGAAGTCCAAATTAAACATGATTTAATGACTCGTAAATGTAAGTACACATTGATGGCCTAAGACACGAAACGAGCGGTTTGTGTGAGAAAAGTTTGTGTTTTTACCTCTTGTAATCACAGCCACGTGATTATATGACTGACAGACAACAACGGTTGACCTAAAAATATCAAAATTGAAACTACTGTGGAAACAAAGACTCTGACATCTTGGATGCCCTTGAGGTAAGCTAAAACATATCAAGTGAACTCTCCATTTAAATCAAATATACTCTGTTTGGCAATGCTCTTGTACTTTCTTATCTGTTTAGTCTTGAAACATTCCTTTCATTTTCCCTTAAGAGACTCTTTCGATGTCAGCGTGTATCATCGCAGGAGCTGAATCAAAAGCCGTGGAGTTGGCCAAAACGCTTCAGAAACATCTGAACATGGTATGTTGAAGATGATATCCCTCTTCTTACGGTTTAGTGAATATTTACTTAGGAATGCATTGAGTATTAAGATGTTTAAATATATCTTTCTCCATCCCGACTCCTTTTACCCCAATCCCCCCCCCCCCCCCCCCCCCCAAAACCATGAGGAGTCACAGATGGCTCGAGCAATAATCTATCCGTCCCGTTAGATGTAATTGCTGAAATGGATAAGGTGTCTTGTACAAGTGTGACCACCTTCCCACTTATTCCACTTTGATTTTTGGAGCCGGTCCAGCTTGAGACATGTCTTCGCGTTGTAGCTCTCGCGGTAGGAGATCCATCTTCCAGTGCACTGACAAAAAGGAAATATGATGTGTTTCATTCGGGCTCCATGCAATGGAAGACCATCCTCCTTTGTAGCCGTTCCAAGTTCTTCATCAAGCACATGTCCTCCTCTTGATAATGTTGCGAACATGAGAGCACCCAGCGGCCCGTACGGATGATTGCTTCCAGACGTTGCCGCTCCCCCAGGTGCCGGCCGGGGTCATTTCTCCCGAGCTGTTCCTACGACTCGAGGGAGATGAAAGAAAAGCAGATTTGAATTTGTCCCAGTGCCATTTGGTAAAAATAATCCCCATTACAGTGTCTCCATTACAGCGATGTGGAACTCGAGTTGAGCCCGTTCCAGGCGTATGCAGGTGGTACGATTGGCCCTGGCTACGTGTTTTGATTATAAAGGACAACAGAGAGTGATAAGATGATCCTTTTAGCGAGATGTAATAATTACACCCGTGCATGCTGCAGATAAGAACTGGAACGGGTTGCCGTCTACTTTCATCAAAGGCTCATGTTCACTAGGGGCCAACAGTTTTTGCTTGGAAATGGAGGATTAAAGTCTGAACCCGTGCGCCATAAGGTGCGGATCTCGAACGTGACATTTCGTATGTGACTGAGAGGGATATTCACATTCCTCAGCTGTGGTAATTCAAAATAATTTAGAGCTGAGAGCATGCAGGTAGTGCATATATCATCTTAAGCCACATAAGTAAGTCTCACACGAAAATGTCCACTTTAAATCCATCGGAGACTATAAAATTCCATTGACTACATGTAATCCTGGCATTTCAGTGATACTGCATAACTCTTGGCTGCAATGTATTCCTACGTCAACCTCGGATTAAAGCACAACGTGAGCCGACATGATTCCCAACACGTAACTGTGGTTACCTTGCCTGGTAAAAACACATTTCTCTTTTTGAATAGTTTATAAATCCCTAAGAATGACCAGAAATGTCAATTGATTGTAAATGTGTGGAAATTAAAGGGTTTTTTTGCGTGACCTATAACGCCTAATGAGGTGTGTGGCTTGTTGAAACTGATTTTTTGGGGTTTTGGTCATTATGAAGCGCTTATTCTTGGTCTGCCACAAATAACCTGTGAACAGCATTTGTGTGGGCTCAACAGCCCAACCTGGTTCAGATGTCGAATTGATCTCGTAAATCCACAGCTCGGAGCAAACTGGTTTTCGTCTAAAGCCGCGGTTGGTTATCTTTCAAGAGCGAATAAGTCCCTGCATGTGTTTCCAATAGCCATTTCATATTTCCAATTTTTTCTTCACGGTCGCGTCTGTGCCAAACACTTCTGTTTATTTCTGTTTATTTCATCTCTGTACAAAATATTCAACAAGACCAGAGGCAGGATATGATTTGATATGAGGACTATGATATGATTTCACAAGAAGAGCATCTGTGGTTGTGTTGCTTTTTATAAAAGGGATGATTCATTTGATATTAATATTTTTTTTTCTCTCTCTCTCTGTCTGCCCTGATTGTGATATTGCTTGTTTTATTGAATTTGGGATGTTTTCTCTTTTCTCTTTCGCACAGATTGAGACAGACGTCATATCATGTGCAAAGGAGAGTAATACGGAATACCTGTCTAAAACCCAAAACTTCATTTACATATCTGTACGTCAACGGTAGACACATGCACAAGTAATTTCACATTAAACTCAACATAAACACAAATTTAATTTCTTAATGCATGTAACTGGTCTTATTGTGAATGATTCATCTGTTAATATTATTCAAAAATGGGTTGTCTTAAAATCTTGAATCAAAATATAATAACTTGATCTCCTTTTAAAGGTGCTAAATGTAACTTTTCTTCTAAAATGAGTCCTTTTTTATTGCCTGTGTGTGAATTGGTTGTAATCACACATTACCATGATCCACTTGTTGGATTTTGCTATTACCTCTGAAGGCCAGTATTATGGAGAGACTTCCGCTATTTTTATTAAGTTTTCAGATATGCTGAAATAATGGTAAACTATAATGAAATAGCAAGGTAAACTACAACATACATGAGACATGAAATGAACACAAAAGACTGTTCCAGGATAACAAAAAGTAGGTGCTTTAGGATGTAACTTTTATTTTATGTACTAGATCTATTGTGATTTATAGTGTCTAACGTCAGTCATCCCACTACTATCATATTGTTTATAATACACATTTCCAGACACGTTCAGTACAGAAATGTTACTTCTTACGAACTTACTGTTACACTGAAATGAGCATGGAGCATTAGTTCAACGTCAAGCTGATAAAAGTGTCCTATTATTGTAACGTTGCAGTGGGAGTTTGCATGAGTTTCCAGCATGTTGTGTGATGCTTTCTCCGGTGTGTTGAAAGTCTCTTGTGTTCGAGCACGCGCAAGAGCACGAGCGCTATTGTAAAAATCGGTTGCAATCTGAAACATCACCGATAGAGGCCGCTAAAAAATACATATAGCACCTTTAAAACAACATTCCTTTTTTGCTGACATTACTTGGCTATTAGTGTTGACTAAAAGCCAAATAACATTTTTGGAAACATGAGTTTAGTCTGGATTGATTCTGTTAGTAAACTACCCTTCAACAATTAAAGTATTTTTTGAAAGAAGTCTCTTATGAAATGTTTGGTGTATAAGGTAAAATTTGTAATTGAAACTCATTAGTGATTCTGTTTAATTTGAGTAAGCCTGTTATACATGTTTACAGTAGTATTTATTAAAGACATGATTGTAGAAAATTTAGCCACCTTAAAGGGATACTCCACTTTTTTGGAAAGAGGCTCATTTTACAACTCCCCCAGAGTTAAACAGTTGGGTTATACCGCTTTCGAATCCATTCAGCCGATTTTCTGATTTTTAGAAGAATATTAGTAACCAGACAGTTTCTGGTCTCATTGACTTCCATTGTAGGAAAAAAATGTACTATGGAAGTCAATGAGACCAGAAACTTTCTGGTTACTGATATTCTTCTAAATATCAGAAAATCAGCTGAATAGATTCAAAAATGGTAAAACTCAACTGTTTAACTCTGGGGGAGTGGAGTAAAAAAAAAAAAGTGGATTATCCCTTTAAATTTAGTATGGTCTTGTCTTTTTTTTTAGGTGAGTGGTTCAGACTTCTCAGGGGTCCTAGAAATGGTGAAACGTTTTGAGGACCTTGGCCACGCTCGTTTATACCCAGTAGTTATAGTTTGGGTAAGTTTCCATACACCTATTAATCTAAACAGCAAAGGCGCCAAGCTCTCTTTGTGTTGGGTTTAAACATTCTTTATGTGTTCCTCTGTTATTTTAAACGTAGGTTTAGGTATTTGCATGTGATTAGACCAAAACATGATCTTGTCCAGGTCAAATGCCTTAGGGTAAATTACTTTTAAAAAGTAAAATCAGCAAGAGCATCTGATTTTTTTTTTTCTTCTCTTTCTCCTGAAGCACATTTGCTTGATGTCAGTGTTGAGAGTTGGAAAAACCCTAGATGTTTTGGTTCCTGGTTCTTATCCAGCATTTGTACCTCAAAACATCACTCTCACCCCGATTAATTTCTTAAATGTGTTTTGAAAACACAAAATATCTGCTCCTGCATTTCTGACGTCTGAATCCAGGGATCCACACCCCACTGTGGGAATCCATATGTGCTTCCTTTACCATTCCCTCTGAAGGCCTGTTAGATAACCTCTACTCTCCATCATTATGTTTTCACTTGTTGTTAGTATTTCACAGATGCTTTGCTCTTATCACCACCACAGATGTGATGATATGATAACACATGTGGCTGTGAGAGCGTGTGATTGCGAGTAAAATCTTAAGCCTTTGCTTCAAGATTTTTTTTGGAAAGAGCTGTTCAGAGGATTGCTTTGCTTTCTTTAAGTTTACATTACATTTGTATCCGCTTAACACGCTATTACATTTCCTGTTTGGCTGTCACAGTTCCTCTTTTGTGCTTTTTGAGTTTCATAATAGAGTAAACTGCATTTCCCCCATTTCTACAGGCCATGACCCCTGTTAGAAATATGTTTTTCTTTAAGCAATTTGCTAAATGAGCACAGTTTTATTTTATTATACATACAAGCCACATCTTCCTGAAATGGTGATGTAAGCGAACGGAAAAATAAACTGCATTAATTTAACGGATCGGTGAATGCTGGGTCAGTTGCAATGGAAACTTTTCGCTCAGAGCTGGTTCTCACTGTTTCGCATGGGAGCCTAACCTGTCTAAATACACAGAGAACTCATGAGAGTTTTTTTTTAAAGAGTAGTATGGGGTACTTTATAATGAATGTGCCTCTTCCACATATATCATAGATGTTTTTAAGGTAATATTTTATTTAAATAAGTGGCGGGCTAGTATGGGATGATCAATTCTTATTCTTATATGGATCGTTGTCACTCACTATAGTCAGTAAAGAAAGTTACTATAGATCACAGATTCGCACACATTTTTTCAACCAAACATATTTACTTGAAATATTTGAAGTTAATATTTCAATAATTTAACACTATCATTTTATTTTATTTTTTATGCATTCAAAGTTGATATTGATGCCAGTTAATAGTTACATGGCATATAGGTAAACATAAACACATACAAATCCATCTGTTTTAGTAAATGTTTTATTTTATTAAACTATTTATGTAATTGTAGATTTTAAGTTAGTATTTCAATAACTTAACCACACATTCTCATAGACCAAAATCAGCTGATCTGAGAGACCGTGTAGGACGGTACGGGTGGAGTAGGTCAGACAAATATTGTGGAGCAAGACCATTTAATGCTTTGAACATTAGACACAATACCTTAAAGTGATGCCACAGGTAGCCAGTGGAGTTTGTGAAGTTATGTGAGCAGAAGTAGAGGTGAGTTTTGAACGTACTGTAATCTTGCAATTATTTTTTGGGGAAGACCAAGAAATAAGGCATTGCAATAGTCCAGGCGTGATGCGATTAATGCATGAATTAATTTTAGATTTTAGGACTCTAATTTTAGATTTGAATGATTTAATTAAATATACTTTTCATCAGCTCATGAACCCCATGCCGTTCACTCACAAATCCTCTGTTTGGAAAACCTTGCTATAAATGTTTTTTCTTCTTTTTGTTGACAGGTACAGCTGAACATGACAAAGCGGTCCATCGATAGCCAAAAGACAGATGAGTTAACAGCCTTCATGGGTCTGGCCTCTGAAGTCCTACAGGGAAATGTTCTGCTCTATGGAATTGAGATTGATCACTCCAAGGTATTTTTTAAATGAGATATCGTTATATCTGTTAAAGATATAGTTCGCCCAAAATGTGAAATTATTGCTTTGTTTACAAGCTTTATCTCAGCCTGATCTGGCATGAATAAAAGGTCTTCGAGCATCCAAGAGGAACCTCGTTTCAGTGCTTGGTCAGGAGGTCTGAAACGTGTCCTATTGAGAATAATCAAAAAAATCATCACTATGTATTAGTCATTGTGGGTCCGGAGAAAGAATCTTGCGCAGATGTGTCTTACTAGACTCTTTGTAGTGTCAGCACAACTCTGTGTCATGAAGATCTATGTGTGAATTTGCCCTGTCTGTCTGCGGCTCCCATTAAAAACGCTCAGACAGCAGAGGGAGTGGCTGTAATGTGTGTTCGTCATGATAAAATGCTTATTTTTGTGAGATAGTGGAAGTGCATATAAAGACCAAGCATAAATCACGCTCATAGGTCCTGTAATAATGAGGATAATTCCTCCCAGATGCGCTTATTCATGCTTCACAAAATAGCTGCCAAGACTCGCTTTGTGAGTTCTGACCCATCCAACTACCTTCATACATGACATAAGGTTTTTTCAATTAGAGGTCGTGCCTCTTAATTCTGTATTTTATCCAGATCGTATTTGAGATGCAGTGCATGTCGGTGAAACCGTCAGACGTTTTCTGCTGCTAGTCACGCCTGAGGGTTTTTCGATGAGCCAACGGTTAATTATATAGACTTTCCATTGCCTAATACTACACTGAATTTATTCCACTGGCATCAGTCATACAGTCAAAATCAAGTTTTGATGATCACTGCTGCAAAACTTTAAAAGGGTCGTATCACAAGCAATTACATTTTTCTTGATCTTTTAAGATGAAATAGATTGATGCTTTATGAAAACACACTGTAAATACTGATTTATGCATAAACTGGTCATAAATCTTCTACAATCAGAACTGTTGCTCGTTTCACATATAAAGTTGTGTTTCTTAGAGGCACGGCAAGAAATAATGGACGGGTCTGTTTTTGTAAAAAAAAAAAAAAAGTAAGGGTTGAAGAGTGTCTGTAATGGTGAGCAGCAGTAGATAATCCAAGAGAGTCATGTGACAATTAAACCTAACTTTTAATGACTACCAGAAACAACAAAGCACTACAGGGCTAAACATATAGGCTGTGTCCGAAAATGTAAGGCCCGTTTTGTGTTTGAGCGCCCCCAAGTTGTGTTTTACTGTAACTTCAGAAGCTTCAAACACGTGAGCAAAAGCGGCAATCTCATTGGTCGGATAGTTTTTGATGCAGCGCGTCAAACAAAAAAAAATGAACGTTAAAATGTCGTTAAAATGTCGCGAATAACGTGCGCGAAATTCGTCCCGGTGTGAACAGGCCTTTAGGTAGCTGACTCTTTCCCTTGCTGTCTTATCAGGAAATTACTTTGCAGGCAGCGTTTGTGTATGAAGGAACCTCACGAAACTGATTTCGTACAGAGTACAGACTTAGCGGCGTAACGGTTTAATGATCTACGGCAAAATATAGAGAGCTTTTGTGAAAACGAATCGAATATTCAGTCAGGTCAGAAACATACATTTACGCACAAACTGACCACCAACCACAACTTTCAGATACCATCGTTATTTTTACCTCAACTGTCACAAAATGAAAAGCACAGGATATTTATGTGATTTCAGAGGCAGTAAAGGATACTGATGAAGGTATCTCAGGAAACAGGAAGCGAAGCTAACTTTGGATTTAGACGTGCCTTGATGCCTTTCTACCTTGGAATGCATCCTCAGAGGGCAGCATTTTTCAGCTTTCAGATGCAGCTAACTTTAACACTAGAGGAAAGGAAGGAACTGAGGAAAACTCAGAGCTTAAAAGCACACTAATTTTCACCACTAGAGGCTGCTTATTCAAAACAAAGGCATAGCTTGATGACACTGAATGAGCGTTGAATCATGGGAGTTGTCGTTTTCAGGATTCAAACAATAAGACTAATCGTGTTGAGCTATATAACAATGATTAGTTTTCTGTTGAAAAATGCATCCTAACAGTTGCTCACCTGCCTAGTACTATTTACATTATAGTACATAATGTAAACAATATTTAAAAAAACATAAAAAAACAGTGTTTCTATGAAAGTAAAACGAGGGAATTCGAGGGTAACGCGGATATGATCACTGACAGGCAACAAAATGAACTGACACGGTCTGTGTCCTGATTAAAATGGCTGATTTCTCTGGATTTAAACATTGTTGGAAACGTTTGGGATAATGTAAGTTAACAAGTCAACAAAATATATAACATTGTTCTAGTGGTTTTTGGATATTTGAATCTAACAATCTTACATGTTGCACCTTTAAATACACAATGGAAGTTAGTTAATGCAACAGGGAACAGATGTTGAAGTCAATTGATGTCAATAGAAACTAACAATGACTGGGAACAGGAATAAAGAACAAAACCAAACTAAAACACCATGAAACTAACATACTCCTGTCAGGACTGTTTTTGGCTCACATTATAGAATAAATAAATGTATAAAATAACCCTCTTAAAATAGCTAATATAAATGGGTTTCAGTGTCAAAATGACCTGATGATAGCCCATTTCACACAGCAATCCTGGTAAATTACCGTAAAATTGCCAGAATGACTTTACCGGTAAAAGGAAAAGCGAGTAAAAGGGCTTTAGTTTTCAGTATCACTTCAATTTGAAGACATTTCTAAACAATTCTGAGTAAAAGCGGCGTCTGCGTCATGGTTTTATGAATGGCAAAGAGCCGTTGCTCTTTCAACGGCTTCTGATTGGACCAAATCACTTCTACAGAACGCGCTGACGTAGTACGTGCAAAATACCGATAATCTTCATTCAGTGTTGTTCACACAGCACATATATCGGTCATTTACTGGTAATGTTCCGCATTCGCTTACTGGTAAGTTGCTGGAACGAATTTACCGGTATATTTGAAAAGGTCTTGTGTTCATTCATGATCTGCTACTGGTAATTTGCCAGTAAAGACTGTGAAAGGGGCTGATGACTTTATTATTTTTATAAGTAAAATTGAATGCATTGAGAACATATTGTATAAAAAAAATACTTTTATGCTTGTTGTTTCTTTTGTCTGTACTAAAGAAGATCTTTGTTAAGGGTAGTTTAAGATAACATTTGGGGGAGTTTGTCGCTGTTGTCTTTCAGGATTGTTTGATTGGAATCTGTGGGTTTGTTTTTCCTTGCCAGATGTTTGTGCATGTGGAGCAATAGTGAATTTGTTGTTTTGAGAACATTGGAATTTGATAAGGATCAGTAAACATCTTCTCATAAATACACATTCAGTCTTCATTAAAAACATTTAGTCTTTGTTGCCTTTTTTTTCTTTACATTCCTTAGTTGTGTCCAGTTTGGTCAGTGATGGATTACTTTTAGGACAGGATTTGATTTCAGTCTTTCAACACATTTCAGTGAAGTTAAGACAGAAACCTCCATGAAATGGACCTCCAAGTTGCTGAAACTATTTCATACTAATCACCCTCCACATAGACAGCGAAGAGTTTGCGTGATTCATTGTGTGTAAACAATGACAGGCCTTATTAAACAAATAATTTCTTTCAGTCTTTCCACAGTATGTTTGTAAAATGCAAAGTTTTCTTCATTAATTCCATGCTGACGGAAGCGTGACGCTAGCAGACTCACAGCAGCTTTGTGAGAGAGGAGTAAACTAGGATAGATAGATAGACAGACAGAGAAAGAGAGAGAAAGAGAGAGAGAGAGAGAGAGAGAGAGAGAGAGAGAGAGAGATAGACATACATACAGATAGATAGATAGATAGATAGATAGAGACAAACATGCATAGAGAGAGAGAGAAAGACAGATAGATAGACAGATAAACAAATAGATAGACAGACAGACAGACAGATAGATAGATAGATAGATAGATAGATAGATAGATAGATAGATAGATAGATAGATAGATAGATAGATAGATAGATAGATAGATAGATAGATAGATAGACAGACAGATAGACAGACAGACAGACAGACAGACAGACAGATAGATAGATAGATAGACAGACAGACAGATGAGACAGACAGATAGACAGATAAACGAATAGATAGATAGACAGACAGATAGATAGATAGATAGATAGATAGATAGATAGATAGATAGATAGATAGATAGATAGATAGATAGATAGATAGATAGATAGATAGATAGATAGATAGATAGATAGATAGATAGATAGATAGATAGATAGATAGATAGATAGATAGATTGATCATTCTCATATGCTGATTTGGTGGAAAGAAACATTTCACATATTTATCAATGTGGAAAACAGTTGTACTGCTTAGTATTTTTGTGAAAACCCTGATACATTTTTTCCAGCATACTTTGATAAATAGCACATTAAAAAAACAGTATTTATGTGAAATAAAATCTTTTGTAACATTATGAATGTCTTCTATCAATTTAATGCATCATTGCTGAATATAATTTTATTTTTATTTTTTTCAAAAAACAAACAGACCAGATAGATGTACAGATAGTCTTTCTAATAGTTCTTTAACTTTTGCCTTCGTGTCAGTAAGGTGATCTGACGGTGTGATAAAGGTCACTTCTAGCCCTATCAGTGCCTGGCCAATGAGTGACAGGAAGTGTCACAGGATCTCCTTCACACACGGGGCCTAGTGGCCTGTCATGCGCTGAAAAGGGTTGTCACAATGATATATGGCTGCTCTAATCCCTCCTGTGAGAGCCCACCCCTCACTTCCTTCTCCTCAAAGCATCCAGCTGAGGATTCTAAACCTGAGAGGAGATTAGCTGCTCCTTAGAAAACAGAAAGAAAGAGACTCTCTCACCTGCCCATATCCACCGTTTTTGAAACCGGATGCCTGGTTTAGCCCAAATTTGGAACATCTTGAGTTTTACAATATAGTTTTACGGGCACTGGCGCCTTTTAGATGCTGCTTTTAGCTCAATCGCCAAATAAACAGTCACATTTTCTGAAGATTAATGATG